TCGGAACATAATATTCACAAAGATACACAAACACACATACAGAAAGCAAAGCAAAGCTACTCACCGATATGGAATCAGGTCCACATATTGCGACATAACCGGGTTATTGCCGGAATAAGATTCAGAACCAGATATAGATTAATGTTAAATCACAGTAAAATTGACAAATTGATATGGTGCGATGATCTCTACACATTTACTGACGAGAGCAAAATGAATAATCACATTGTGTTTTTTTTAAAAAACAAAAGAAAAAAATTATTGACATGTGCTTTTTAAACTTCATGTTCACATCATCTCTGACTCATTTGTCAATTAGTAACCGACGATCGAACTGTCGTCATCGGATGATTGTGTTTGATATCAATAATGAAATCGATAATCAAAGTGGCAGAGGCATCACAACAACAGCCAGTACACACTGCAGTTGAAAAGCACACACTAATTACCAATGAAATGAATTAGCAGATAATCTAGCCAAAAAGGGGCAACAACAATCAGCCTAAACAGTGCCATCTACAAAACAAACCCATTATCATCATTCAAATTTTTGTGGCCACTAAAATTCAAATCAACAATGGATGGTGAGACAAAGGCAAATGGACCCACCGATTATTACCGGATATAGTAACAATGTCAAAACAAACGACACACACACACAAACTCGAACCAATCAGCTGATTTTTTTGTTTATCATCGACTTTCATATCATTATTAAATGCTAAACATTGGCTAAGAAAGAATCAGACAAACAAACAAACAAAAAAAAATTGTAGAATCGATCAAGTCACGCAAATTTCATTGGAAATTCGTGTTTTTAGGCGGTTGTTTTTTTTTGTTCATGATTCATTTTTGTTTTTCTACCATCGTCAATTTTCATCGATTTCCAACTGCCATAATGAATCAGTCAATAGAGAAAAACATCATAACAATAATAACAACAATCGATATGATCATGATGATGATGATTTTGAATAAAATATTTTCTTTCTATTTACCCGGTGATGGTTAGTTGGTTGGTGGTGTGTGTGTATGAATCGTGAACGCCTTTGGCATCATCGATAAAAGTAAAAAAAAATTTCTATAGTTTTCATTTCACTTTGAAAATCATCAATCATATTGTTCGATATGTGAATCGAATCGAATGAATGAATGAATGGAAAGAAAAACACTACGCGATAAAAGTATAAAGTTTGTTTTGAATATTTTCAATTCTGGTACAAAAAAGAGTGAGAAAAAATAGACGTAAAGAATTTTTGTCGATCAATTGAGATTTACCAGTATAATCAAACCAAACCAAACCAAAAAAAAGACAGAATACTAGACACAGACACAAACTCAATGGGTGGTGGTCAAAGAATTTTTTTTCTCATCCGGGTGGCGTTGGTGGTTGTTTTGCATTTTTTTTTCTATTCTTTCAGTTGTTATTCACACACACACACACACACCAACGAATTCTGTATTCTGTACCATTTTTTTTCTTCTTGTTCTGTTCTCACAAAAAAAAAAAATTATCTCATCATCAATGACATGAAATCCGATTGTAAAGCAACAAAAAAAAAGTAGAAAAAAAATTGTGTCAGTTGTGATCTTCTGTCTGTCTTATTTTATTTTTTTTTATTCACATTGAAATTCTTCAATTTAATAATAAGATTTCGTAGAATTCATCTCATCCAACATGTATGTTATTTGTGAATTTGAATGTTTAAAGTTTTTTTTCTTTCGGTCGGCTAATTTTTTGTTGTCAAATTATTTTGTAACCGAACCAAAGTGATGTGTGTGTGTGTGTGTGTGTGTGTGATGAAATTCATATATTTCGTTCATCGTTTTTCATTAGTATTTCGTTTCGGATTATATAACACTGACAAGGTTCTCTTTTTTTTTTTTTTTTTTGCTTCACAGAACACAATTTTTTTGGTGATATGAAATGAAAAATTATTTTTTTAATAGCAGTAAAATGAATAAATGAAAAAATAGATAAAATTCTCTAGGGAAAATTCCAAGAAATTTGGATTAATAAATGGAAAGTTTTTTTTTATTTATTTATTATCAGAAATCACAAATAATCAAATCATTCATTCATTCATGAACGATAGAGAGAGAGAGAGAGAGAAAACTGTCCCAGGATGTTCAAAGATTTTCATCATCATCATCATCATCATCGACATTCTTAAACCGGCTAAAGTTTTATTTCGGTTTTTGTAGTCACTGTCGTCGATGTTGTTGTTTCTTGTTGTCATTGTTGTTGTTGTTGTTTTTCACTCACGAAAACAACAACAACAACAACGATGATGATCGATGATGATGAAAACCAAGTTCCAATTAGTTTTTTGTTTCCGTTTTGTTATTTTATTTTTTTTTTTTTTGCTTTCGCCTCGTTTGTTTTTGTGATTCCAATCATGTGTATGTTGTTGTTGTTGTTGTTTTGTTTGACTTGAAATCACCATCTTGTTTGTTTGTTTGTTTGAAATAAAAAGTGATAAGATAATCACCAGCATCATCGAATCATTGAATGAATGAATGAAGTGGAGAAAAAATTCTTGATGATGAATCTGATTCGAAAAGCTGATTAATCGATTCTATTCAAGCGAAAATATATGGAAAAAAGGCGAGCCCAAGAGAGAGAGAGAGAGAGAGAGAGAAAAACAACAACAACAAAAAACCTAAAACAAAGCAAAAAAAAGAGAAAAAATAATAATTCAGATTGGTCAAAACAACACAGACACACACACACACACACACACACACCTTTTAAGACATTGTTCAATCATCACTTGATTTAATTAATTTAACTTTTTTGTTTCTCTCCATTTCTATCTGTACAAATGATTTTCTGAAATGGAATCTATTGAAGCATTCACTTGGCATGATGACGATGACGATGACGATGATGCTGGTTGACTGTCACTTTTTCGTTTTTTATCTCATTTTTTTTTTTTTTTTAGTTCATTGACGTATGACGGCATTCTTTTTTTTCTCTGATCCAAAAAAAAGTTTCTTGTCGTCATCATTGTAGTATGGAGATATGAAGATTTTGTCAAAAATATTGAACATCAACAATAGCCAAAAAAATGTCTTTCAAAATCTTTTATTTTTCGTGGTTCATGGTGATGATTAAGTTGTCATTGTCATTGTTTTTTCGGAAACTTTCCCATTGGTAGTATTTGATCAAGTAATTTTTTTCTGTGTACAACAACAACAACAACAAAAACATCAGTTTTGTTTCTCACGTTTGTTTAAAATATCTATAATCATCCAATGTGCTCATTCATGTTTGTTTGTTTGTTTCGAACACGAGCCAATTTTTTTTCGTCACTCTCTGACATCCTTATTTTTCATGGAATATTCATTTCAAAAAGAAAGAAAAAAAAATCCGATTCCATTCCATTTTCTATAATCTGATTTGATTGTAATAAAGAATTTTATTCTATTTTATTCCGGAATTATTTCAAGAAAAAAAAACATCAAACAAACAAACAATGACGATTTTTCATTATTATAATAATCACTAAATGTCAACGGATTCTTTGATTCTTGAGGAATTTTTTTTTGCTTCCTCAAATGAAATAATAATAAAACTTTAATGCAGAAACAAAAAAAAAATCATTTAGCAATAATTTTTCCACACGAGAATCTAGAATTTAGAATTTCCATTCACATTCATTTATTATGAATCATGGAAAAAAAACACTGAGGAAAAACGAGATAAATGATCATTACACACACACAGACACACAGGAAGCAGAGAAAAAAAATGAAACTTTTCTCAGTGGAAAAAAAATTTTAAAATAAGTTTTTTTTCAAAGGTATCAATATATACCCACCACATTTTGTGTGTCGTGGAGTTTTTAAAAAAAAAAATCAATTCATCTTTGCCAAAAATGAATGTGTGCAGTGTACATTAATCAATTATATTTTCATTTTTTGAAATTCTTGCAACACTAGAAAAAAAATGTATCGATGATGATGATGATGATGATGATGATAAAATTGGCATCCGAAAAAAAAATCATCGTCGTCGTCATCCTTTTAATAATGTCGATGGCTATATTTCAATGATGATGATCAAAAAATTCGCATGTGCACGCATGTTGCCGATAATTGTATGATGATGATGATGATGATGATGAGAATCCAACAACAACAACAACAACGAAAACTTGAAATTATTCAATTGTTCAAAACAAATATACAAACCAAACAAAACAAATTCTATTGAGAATTGGATTTTTTTTTGCTCATCCAAAATAGCAGCAGCAGCAGCATTTGTTGTTGTTGTTTTTGGTCGAATTTTTTTTTTTGTTTTGTTTTCACATTATATGAATATAACTTAACTTGAAATGAAAACAAAACAAAAAAAAATTATTATTATTATTATTGAAAAGAAACATAAACATCATGATGATGATGATCATCACCATCATCATCTATAAATACAAAGGAATCATCAATTCATTCAATTAATAGTGAGTGTGTATATATATATTGTTTGTTTGAGTGTTTATATTTTTCTCAGTGATAGAAATAATAAAAACAGTGTGTATACTATTATATGCATATGGTAAAACAAGAATAAAATTTGAAAAGACAAAAAAAAAATTCTTTACCAGAATAACATTCTATTATATTGTGAGAAACAAAATAAATTTGTGCGATGGATTCTTTTTTTTTTGAATATCAGAAAAAAATGTAAAGAATCCATTATGATGATGATGATTATATGGTATCGATTCATGATGATGATTGACAGTGGCAGATGATATCGATTCAATTTTTATTTTTTGTTTGTTTGTTTGCAATCAATCAATTAATCTTGATGAATTTTTTTTTTATTCGTTGATTCACATGTATGCTGGATTTTTTTCTTACGATTTGAAAAATGAATTAGAGATTTGGCATGCCAATGTCATGTCATGTCAATTTGCCAATTTTTTTTTCTCATCTCGTTCATTGTTTGTAAGTGAATGGATGATAAATGTATTGTTTTCGTTGGTTCTTTCTTTTTTTTGTTTGTTACAAGTTTAATTCATGTGTGCATGAGTTTGTTACATTAATAAATGTTGTGACAAATAATAATATCAAGCCAATAATTATGTGTGTTACCAAGAAACCATATGGTGCCCAAGAAGAAAAAAAAACTTAACCATTCACAATATATGATGATGATGATGATGATTGGTGTGATTGGCCATCACATCAAATCAAACACACACTCACACACACACACATTTCTATATTAACTTTGTCAGATTCTTATTCAGAATATTCTATTGTTCCATGTTCTAAGAAATTTTTTTTTCATCTTAATTCATTCTTGTTGTCCGGTTGTCATGATGATGATGATGATGATGGAAACAACGACAATTGCTAATTTTATTTTGGTACACATTAACTACATCTTGAGATGTTCATTTAGATATTGACTTTGAAGAATATTCAAACAACAAACACACACACACACAATGAAATTAAGAGTGGTCAATATGTGTGTGTGTTTGTGTGTGTAAAAAAGGATTTTCATGTGAATATTGAGTAATAGAAAAAAAGGGAGATCCATTTTCAATGATGATCAAATGACTGAATTTAGAAAACATTCATGATATGCATTGGTGGCATTATTATTATTTGAATGATTCTGATGATGATGGTTATGGTTGCCGGCGTTACCATTCGATGACATGATCATCATTGAAATACTATCATCATCATCTATTGTTGTACCATTATTTAGTATTTCATATAATGATGATGATGATGATGATATTTGTCCAGCCAAACTGTTACAATTTGTATTATTGTTATTGGTCAATATAAATGATGATGATGATGATGACGATGATAGCGATGGCAATGTTTGATTATTTGCTGATGTAGGCATATAACAAATATTCGATTCAATTGCCAAATTATTAGCCATCATAATATTTTCCATTTCCAATCGAATATCATGATGATTATCATTGATAGCATTCGCAATGGTTATTATTTCATCATTATTATATCTTGAATCATTGTGAATATTGTTGAATAATGTTGAATCATTTTTCAGTTCATTATTTGCACCAAATTTTAGATCCATAAATAATGGAAATGAATGCATAACACGATAAATACGTACAAATAATTGTGTTACATCTTCAGCCAATAAACGCATTTCATCTATTAATGACATTAATATTGCAAACGAATTTTTTGCATCATCATTACCATGGCCATATTTGATCTGTAAATAACGACGTAATAGACATGTGTAACGAGAATATTCATCCCTTTAGAATTATGAAAACAATAACGAAAAAAAAAAAAAACAAACAAACAAAAAATTTATCGATAATCCAATTCACTTACTTGATTTTTTTATTTTGCCTTGTATTCAATCGTGGTGTAAACAATGTGATGGCCGTCAACTATAGAATAACAGAATGATGGCATAAAAAAAAGTTAAGAATGAAAAATGGTCTTACCAAATCAAATATAATGTTATCATTTTTCCATTCATGTTTAAATTTTGCTGGAAAATTTTTATGACGTTCATAATCATATTTGATACAACATGGCCGTAGTATTTCATGATCAACCATTATGGATACTTTACATTTATCCTGTTTATATAATGAATGAAAAATTTAACAAATAAATGATGGTGAACAATTAAATTGTAATCAATCAGAAAATCAAAAAATCAAAATCATCATCATCATCATATCAGATTTCTACTTACATCAAGTAAACAAAAAGCTTTACGATCTGGATCATACAACAATACCGAACGTATGAGAAGCATATCGAGTACATTGTGTTTGAGTAATTCAATCTGATCATCAAGCATTAGTTTAGCGAATGAACCTAAACGTTTTGACATTCTTATAAGACGATGAATGAAAAATTCTGTTATACCACAATCATGTGGCATATGACTAGGATATTTTGGATTCTTTGTAAATAATGAACTATATTGTATACGTTTATATGGATTTTTCAATAATAAACAAGCAGTAGTCAGCTCCTGTATTAGATATAATTCTGGTTCATATAATTCATCATTTGATAAAGATAATTTCTGCAATAATGGTATTGATGATTGTAGATTTTTTTGCTCTCGTTGTCGTTGCTGTTGTTGTTGCTGTTGTTTTTTGAAAAAGGATGATTTCAATGTTTTCGACGACGATGGCATAGATAGTGCTGATGCTGGTGCTGGTGGTGGTGGTGGTGGTGGTGGTGGTGGCATCAATTCTGTTGCTGGATAATAATCATAAAGAGTGAAATTTTTCTCAATCATTTCATCATCGGTATCAGTGTTAGTCAGATAATTTCGTAGATAATTATTTCCATTTTCTTTCCTATTATAATTATTATCATCATTGATTGATACCATCATTGTATCCGAATTATTATTATTATTAAATTGTATCGAATTTAGACAACAATAATCTGTGGATAATGATGATGAATTCGATATCATCATCATTGTATTTGAATTATTTAATTGCTGCTGCTGCTGTTGCTGTTGTTGTTGCTGTTGTTTTTGTTTCTGTTGAAAAGTCAATGGTGGATCATTATCATGAAGTAGATATTGGCTAAAATCTTCAATGACATTTTCATTATTACAACATGTGGAAAGTTTGTTTGTTATTGTTGTATCGACCGCAATAATACCATCTACACAATCATCATCATCATCATCATCATCATTATTACAACTACTATTGATTTTGTCATCAAGTTTTGATGTTGATGATGATGATTGTTCCATTTTAATATCACCATCACCATCGTAATTATTACTTTTTGTTTTTAGAAAACTTTCAGATAGAAACGATGATGATTTTGATCCATTCATTGTTGAAGTTGATGCAAATTTCGTTCCATTTTCATCAATATCGATATCTGTAAGTGGAGAGAATTCATCTGAAATTAATTCATTTAAGATTAAAGTTTTGTTGTTGTTGTTGTTGCTGCTACTGCTGCTGCTGCTGGTATTGGCAGATTTGGATCATCATCAATTGTGCTGGAAATATTTTCATTATTGTTATTAAATGTAGCCATCATTGTATTTGTTTTGGTTTGATAATCTGAATTCTCCAAAATTGTCGTCGTGGTTGTCGGCATCATCATCATTAATGTTGAAGTGTCATTTCCGTAGTCATTGTTGTTGTTGTTGTTGATGGTGGATGGTTGTTGTTGTTGTTTTTGTAGACCATTTTTGTCATCATTATCATCATTATTAGAGGTAGCGGTTGTCATTATTGAATCAATATGAAAATTATTATCTATTAAATCATTGTCAAAAAAATCAATCGAATCAATACTGTTTGAGAATAGAAAACAACAATCACTAAGGCTTGATGATATTGATGATGATGTAAAACGAAGATCAGGATCAACATCGACACCATGATCATCATCATTGATTTTAGCGGATAATTGATCATTATAATCATCATCAATATCACCATTATCATCATAATGATGATTATGATTATTATTTCTATAAAGATCTTTCTGATGACAATTATTTATATCCATATGAAACAATGAAGTATGATTATCATCATTATAATCTTTGTTATTATCAAATAACGATGTTGGATAAATAGATGAATGAACACCATCATTGGTGGCCATTATTGGTGCTTGTAATTGTGATTTCTTTTGAAAATTATTCGGATATGATGAACAAATACGTAATGGTTGATGTTGATGATTAAAATTATCATATCCAATATTATTATTATTATTATTACCATTATTACTGCCACCATCAATACAGGAATCAAAAAATACATCCGATCCATCAGCTGTTAACAATGTATCTAAACTATATGCATGTGGTTCAGTAAACATACGACATACATCTGGTGATAATGATGATGATGATGATGATGATGATGATTCAAATGATGATGATGATGCTGGTGATGAATATTTCATTGTCGTTGTTGTTATCGATAATGATGATGATGATGATTCTAGCATTGTTGATCCAAATGTATCAACAACATTACAATGATTATTATTACCGGCAATAATTTGATTATTGAAAATGGCTGTATTATTTCCATTTCCATGCTGATGATGATGATGATGATTGAATTTTATTAAATTTTCCTGATGATTCAATTGTTGTCTATGTTGATTATCGATCAATACGTTTTTATCATCAACAACAGCAGCAGCAACAGTAGTAGTATTTTCTGTTTTGATTGAACCATTTTTACGACGGCGACGACCATTACTGCTTGTTGTTGTCATTTTCTTATTCATTGATGATACATTTTGATGATCAATACGGCCATTATCATTCTGTTGTTGTCGTTGCTGCTGCTTTCGTTCCGATTCCAATTGCTGTTTACGAATTTTATTTCGCAAAATTTTCTCCTTAATCAATCGTTTTTCTTCATCGCTCAATATCCATTCCTATGTGGTTGGTGTGAAAACAAAAAAGTGAGAAAAAATCGATTCAAACAAAAAAAAAAAAAAAAAAAACAAAAACTTCGAATTGGATTTCAGAATCCTATGCTCATCATCATCATCATCATCATCATTTTTTTTGCCGTTGCCCAGGAATCGACTTTGTTATATAACGACAATAATGATCAGATGATGATGATAAATTAATTCAATGGTGTTACCATGAAACAAAACAAAAAAAAAAAAAAATGGATTTCACTCACACACACACACACAAAGATTTGATCCACAACATTGTACATACATAATATATATATAATAAATAGCTAGATTGAATTATTTCTGTTCCTGAAACTTTCTATATTTACGACAAAATAAGATTAATGATTTTGAAAGCAAGAAAGTAAAACAAAACAAAAACAAAAACAAAACAAAAACATGAATGATAAATAAGAATTAGTCGTCGTCATTTATATATTTTTTTTTCTCACGCTCACTTTATCGATACAATTGGATCAGATGGAATTTCGATAACAACAACAACAACAAACAAGAATTTCATGGTGTTTTGTTTGGTCATTTCATTGAGCAGAAACAGCTGTTTCCAAAAAAAAAATCTTGAAAAGCTAAACTGGGACCAGAAAAAAAAATTGAACAAAAAAAATCTGACCTTTGTTCGTAGATTATTAGAACTATATATATATAAAAAAAAGTTTCATTTCATTGTTTTTTTTTTACTCATCATCATGTGTTTCATGAATTTCACTACACTATGTTTATGGTATTTTTTATGTTTCAACATCCGATCCATGAATCGAAATTTTTTTTTTTTTTTTGGGTATTTTGTTCTGTTGTTTCAAAAAAAAAAGAAATTCCAAAAAAAAAATAGTTCATGGCCATTTGTTGTTATTATCCGCTTATATATATGGTAACAGATAAATAAATAATTTGACATTCATCCGGTTTGTAGTTGAAGAAAAATCGAAATAATATATCGACGAATTGATTTTTTGTTTTCGTTTTGTTTTACTTATATATAATAATAATAATATTATTATTATTACAATTATTTTTTACAAACATAATAATACTCACTTTTTTCATTCCACTTTCGAAACATTTTTTCAATCGACATTTGGAACAAAATTTTCTAGTTATCTTATCAATTTGACAGGCATCATTGAATGGACACTTCATATCCTATATATTGTGACGACATATTGATCGTAATGGAATGATGATGATGATGATGATGATGTGTTCGTGCGTGTGTTCGGTGAAGATCGACAAAAGGAAATTGAACAAAGTAAAAAAAAACGGATCAAAATGGAAAGAAAAAAAAATTTTTTTGTTCATGATTCAACTATTATACCAATATATTAGACGATTACTACTCACTTTTTTACGTAAAGCATTACGGCGAAAAAATGCTTTACATGACATACAAGTCAATACATTGAAATTGATACCTATAATGGAAAAAAAACAAAAACAAAAATCTCCACTGTCAATTTCCGCTAAATTCTTTGGAAAAATAAAAATATTTCCATCATTTCCTTTACAAACCTTTAGCTTTATCACCACAAATGACACATAATTTGATTGTTTTATCAATTTTTCGAGCCATTCTTTTATTTTTGTATATAACAATGAAAAAAAAACACAGAATCGTACCAGAATCAAATCAGAGGTAGAATGTTCGTGCAAAATCAATCAATTCATTGATTTTATTTTCTTTAAAATGATGATGATGATAATGACGATGTGATTGAGAATCGGCAATGATTTTTCTTCCACTGGGATAAACAACACACACTAGAGGCAAATTGAACAAAAGAAAAAATGAAAAATGAAGGATTTAAATCGAATCAAATTATTATAAATGATGAATGATTTTTTTTTCGTTCATGTTTTTGTCTGTGCTGATTAGCAAGCTGAGAAAAAAGGAAAAAAAACTAATTTGTTTGCCAAATTATCATTCACATCAATCAATTAGTTTGATGTTTGAATTCAACATTCATTCATTTATCTATTTGGATAAAATCTTCGTTTTTTTGCTCCACCAACCACCATTATTGATATTGATAGATCGATATCAATCGTTCGATTTTTTTTTGTTTGTTTGATATTGCAAATATACACAGACACACACATATATTACATTATTATTATTAGTTATTTATCGATTGATAATAATAATGATGAACATTTGTAGCTCGTGACATAAAAATTTTAAGGTAGATGTATCTATGTGTAAATGTGTTGCATCATGTACTTTATTTGGTACGAAAAAAAAACTTCAATCTATATTGATTCGAATGAAATTGATTTTAATTTTGGGTAATAAATAAATAGATGGAACAACAATCGATACTTACAATCGATGATGATGATGATTGAAATCAGATAATCGTAGTCAGAATGGCAGAAAAAAAATCAAAATTTCAAGATTCAAGATTCTACCTAAAAGATGATGAAAAATACAAAAATTGAAATTGATTCAAACTTTTGTAAAATATGAATTAAACGAGGACAAAATTTTTGAAATACAAAACCAGAAAAAAAATCATTCAATCTCTTTACCCATCCATCGGCACAGACAAACACACACACACACACATACAAATCGCATGCAATAAACGTTAGAAATTGATAAATCCAAACAAAACAGAGACTAATCATTCAAAAATGTTTTATTTTAGTAAATGAACAAAAAAAAATTTCCATTTTTTGATGATAAAAATTTTTTCTGGTATATTTCGCCGATATTAATGTCTCACATGTTTATATAAAAATATTGTGTATGGATGGACCCAGATTCGTGTAACAAAAAATCATCATCATCATCATCATCATAATTCAATCATCATCATAAAAATCAATCGATTAATCGATCAATCAATCAATCATTCAGAAAATGGACAACAACAACAACAACAAAAACAGTCGATATATCGTTATCATCATCATCATTGAAAATATTAAGAAAAAAGTAAAAAATCAAACGATATTTTTTTCCAAAGAAAAAAATACATTTATTGATTATTGATGAAAGAAAAAAAAGCTCAGTTTTATGAATGACAATCACACACACACACACACACAAACATTAATTTATCTCCCCCCTCTCCCACGCATACACACAGTGACAAAAACAGATGAAAATGATGTTTCAAATTCATCACCATACACAATACTTACTTATTGAATCAACAATTCTTCAGGAATTCATAATCTGGAATTATTATGGCATTATTACAGCGGCCACATGTAAAATCAAAATGACACGTTCATACAAACACAAAAACAAAAAAAAAAACAAATAAAATGATCCAAAATAATAATAATAAAAGGTCAATGAATTATTATTGATAAATTAAATTGAATGATGATGATGATCATGTCATAATAATGATCGTTGACTATCGTCGTTTACACTATTAGTTTATTATGGTGGAAAAAAATTAAAATAACAACAACAACAACAAAGAAAAAACATATAGAAATCACAGTCATGTATTTTTTTTTTTTTTTTTTATGGTTGTAAACAATATAACACATAAACGATGAAGAAACATCAAACTTTTCAGTTTCATATAAAAAAAAGTATCACACATCAGCCACGTTGGTCTATTTAAAAAAAGGATGGGTGTGTGTGTGTGCATGCGGTTGTAAATGTCAATTATCAATTGTTATCAATGATAAAAAAAAATTTGATAATCAACACACACGTGTTATCATTCATCGTTTATTTTCTTCTTCTTTTTCTTCTTTATAAATCAACAAGTGTGTGTGTGTCTGTACATGAAACTTTGAACAATTATCAACAACAACAACAACAAACGAAAACGAAATTATTTTGTGCAGCCATTACTATGTGAATTAAAAAAACTCACCAAAGTTTGTTGATGATAATGATGATATGTGATGATGATAATGATGATAATAGACAAACCAGAACAACAACAACAAAAAAAGATTGGAAAAATAGAGCCTGAACAACAACAACAACAACAACAAAAAACGACACAAACACTGAACAAATTGAAAGTTTTCAATTTCAATTATTCAATTCAAATCAATCAAAACGAGAAAATGAGAACATTGAAAAAAATTATTCTTACTTTGAATGAAACTACTAGCAAATAAATTTTCATAAACCACACACACACACACACATCAATCAACGTCAATTGAAAAAAGAAAAATTTTGGTCGTCATCGTAGAGGATTTCCTATCATCATCATCATCATCATCATTGTTGTTGATGATGTTGGCTTTTTTTTACAAAAGTCTAGATTGGTAACAACAACGACTACAATAATCAAATTACCAAGGTCTTTTATTGAATTAAAATCAATTATCATTACTATTGATTTTACCTCAAATCAAATTCGATTCTGATAACGAAAATAAAGAAGAAAAAAAAAGAGATAAACCGATTCAATTGGTGTGTGTGTGTGTGTGTCACATCATGAGATTTTTTTTTTCACCAATTGAACTTAATGATTTAAGATCAAAATCTGGATTGACAAATATAGTGCTATATATAGATATATAGATTATATGATGATAGGATTATCGCATTTATATCGTGCCATTATCTTGTAAAGGCATGTCATTGATTGATTGATTGATCATGTATTTGATGATGATCTCAGAGATTTGTGAAGAAGAGATTTTTAAAAAATTTATTGTCCAATTATCGATCACACACTATATTATTCCAACGGAAAACAACAACAACAAAAAGGAAATTGAACGTCATGACAAATTATTGTGAATCATTAGATTTTCAAATTTGAATTTTTTTTTCATCTTAAAAAATGTAGAAAAAATTTTTTTTTTGCACTTGATTCACTCTAAATTGATTCATATCATCATCATCATCAAAGCTCGATCGATTGCTATCAAATTATTAGAAAGCAAAAAAAAAAAATCTCAAAATCTCAAACTTCACACCACATTTGTTTAACTTGGGATTTTTTTTTTTTTATTTGAATATATTTGCCGAATAATTTCAATCTGTCAATCAAACAAACAAATAAAAAATACCGAAGAAATCGATAACAAATAGACAACTTCCATAGATAATGGAATGCCATTATTATCTTCTGGACAATGTCCATTTTAATAATATTCTCATTTCGTTTTTTTGTTAAATCATTTTTTTGCAACATTATCATAATCGACCAGTGTCGCCATCTATCGCTCAATAAAATGGATTTGAAAACATCACATCAACAAATGATTGACATCATCATTCAATTCATTCGATTCGATTCTATGGAAAAGAGGAAAACAAAACACACATACACAGAGTTAATTGCAAAATAAATTTACATTTAAAATTAACTTTGAGAACAAAAAAAAAACGAATCAAAATTCAACACAAAATTGGCTACAATGAATGAATGAAAGTATCTTAATCTTTGGGAAAAACAACAACAAGAAAAATGTTTTTTTTCTACTGCGATATATAGTGAACACCATAATTTAATGTTTGTTATAAACAAAACAAGACAACAACAACAACAACAACAACACAAGGGAATTTATGTGATGGAATAAAAAAAAAAACTCAAGGGATAAAATGAATTTTAATTTTGAAAATTTTTCTTCTACCCACTGCTTTATAAAAAAAAAAATTGGAGTATAAACACACACACACACACACACATACAGTTCATCTGGGATTTTTTTTTCACCAGAATTCAATTACCAGGAATCCACATAGACAAAAACAGAAAAATACAACAGGAAAAAAACACATACATGATGATATAATTTTTAACCGAAATGATAATCAAGATTTCCATCAAAAAAAAAATGAAATGGTTAGAATTTAAATCATTTTTTTTCTTTTCGTATGAAATATTCTATAATTCAGATTCTCTGTAACCATCAAAGAACACAAACACGACAAAGAATCAAAGACAAAGAAATAAGAAAAAAAAATTAATGGGAATCGTAATTTTTATGGCAATTTAGTAGGAAAAATGTATAGTGAATTTACAGTGTTTTATCATCATTGCCATTGAGATATAAACAAACTAAAAAAAAACATTGACATTGACAATGGATGTGAATATGAAGTGTAGAAATTAAAGAATTTTTTTTTTTGAGAATCCAAGGTAGTTATTATGAAAATCGAGGCCATTATCCATTATTTGTTTGTTTACAATGTAATGTCAGAGTGTTTGTTTTTTTTATGTTACAACTTGCAGAAATTATTATGATGATGATGATCATTTCACATTTTAGGTAGAGATAAACAACAACAACAACAACAACAACATTTTAATTTGGTTTGATGATCTTCATTCAAAGCAAATGCAACACACACACACACGTGATGATCAACTGGTTGATTTATCAACCATTTCAATTTATTATCAACTCTAAAAACACATATAAACATTGATGATCGATGGATCAAGAAAATTGGCAGAAGAACAAAAAAAACCGGTTTTTAAATTAAAAAAAAGTAAATTTTTTGCCACTTACCTGATTGAAAATGGGAAACAATTTTTTTTTGTTGTTAAATTTTGGATGAGCATGAAAAAAACACACACACAAAGCAAGAATCTGATTGAAAAATTTTTGGATCAAAAAAAAAAAAAAGCAAATCGCACAAGTAAAATGAAGAAAGAAGTGATTGTTGAGCATAAAAAACAAAAACAAACAAAAAGAAAGAAAATCTCAACCAATTTCGGTTCAGTTTATCATCATTCACAATAATAATAATGAGATTTATTTGATGCATTTACACACACACACACACGCAAAAATATGAACCAATGACTTTGATGATGATGTCAAAACATTTTTGTTGTTGTTGTTCACAAACAATATAGTGTGATGTGTGTGTGGTGGAATTTTTTTTTGTTCTTTCGAAATATGATGATAATGATGATGATTATGGTGGTGGTGGTGGTGGTGGTAAAGGCAAAAACAACAAAGACAAAAAAAAAAAAAAAAAAAAACAAAATCAAAAAAAAAACAGTAGAAAAAAATCAGATTACAATAAGAATTTGTTAAGAATGTTGATTAGTTTGATGATACATACCGTAGAGAACAAAAAAAATACACATTGATTATAAAAATATCTACTACAAGTTGGAATATTGTGCAATTTCCTGAGTTACCACGATATTTTTTTATATTATTTGTGTGTGTGTGTGCGAAATGGAGAAAAACAAATGTACATTAAAGTCATCATCATCATCATTATTATTTACCGTTGTCGTTATACTTGTTTTTTACGCATTTTTTTCCCGGTTACCAAAATGAATGAATGAATGAATTGATGACGATGACGATGATGATGACGAATGTTCATTTGTTTTGTATTTTGTCATTTATATTTTTAGGTCATGAGTTCTAATTTTATGTGATATAATATTTAAGAAAGAATATTTTCCATGTGATTTTTTTTCGATGATGATGATAAACAATGATGGCGCCAAGACGGAAAATTCAAATGTTTGAATTTGATTGAACAGAATCAAAAAATAAAAAAAAAATATTGCAGATTATGGTTTGTCATGATGTTCATTATAGACAGGTGACATTGTTTGTCTATTGTCATGTCATTATCAACATTGATTCATGATTACGATCACGGTTGATTTGGATGAATGTGAATGGAAATTGAAAAAAAAAAAGAAAAATTAGATTAATCATGTAGGAAATAAACAAAAACAAAAAAACAACAAAAAAATTGATTTACTAACACACAGTGTCACCTTAAGATAGATAGAAAAAAAATCACACACCATCGAATTGATTGGAATTTTTGATCTTCGAATGATTCAATCATCATCATCATCATCATCTTCTTCTTCTTCATGGTGGTTGTAGTAGTATGATTTTTTTTCTTTCTTTGTTGAATATACATACGCTCATACCATACATTTCTCAGTTTTGTGTGTGTGTGTGTTTTTTTTCATTCATTTGTCGTCATTTGAAATGTTGCAACGTTGAATTTTTTTAAACTGTATGCCATGTATAAGTGTTTCGATGTATTCAAATAACGTCATCATCATCATCTGTGGTAGCATCAAAGATCAAACAAAACAGCAAAAAAAAAAAAAAATAAAACTACGACGAATGACGACGATGATGATTTTTTCTTCATATTCTACCTTGTTTTCATTTATCTAATTTATAACCCAGGTATCATCGACAATTTCATCTTGTAAAATTTACAACAGGAGGAGTTTGTTGTTGCTGCTGCTGCTGTTGTTGTTGGCTGTCTTCGTTTTTTTTTCATCAAATCTTTAAAAGCTAAAGACAGTGGAAAAATCAAAAAAAAATTGTAAGACAAGCACATTCGAATGACATATAGATATACACTCACACAATATTTGAGGAAAAAAAAAGCAAAATTTGACATTCGAATCTTTGAACCGTCATCATCTCGTATCATTGCCATTCGAGGTACGTCGTCTTCTTGATCAAAACGTTTCTATTGATCATCAAGTATGATAATGAATAGAAAAAAAAGCTTCACTTATCTGATTGGCTTTTTTTCCCACTTTAAATGTATAGATGACCGATATTTTTTTTTTCTTGTTCTTGTTTACGTCGACACACACACACACACACGTGCCTTGAGGCAGAAATTGCAATACTTTTTTAGACCATTGATTATTGCATCTCGATAATTGTTGATTATGATCATCAAGATGGTGATGGGTGATAATAATAATAATAATAATAATAATGATTATGTTCATGTGGAAAAAAAACATTTACATAATTTTCATCAATAAAACATGAAAAAAAAAATTCGATTTTCGAACACAAAAACAAAGCTTCATTCATAAATGACGTGTAGGAAATGAAGTTTCCTTTTGATTACACAGAGCCAAAAGTAAGCAGGGTACCCTGCAGGGGTAACCAAAAATGCAAATTTGCAGAAGCCACCCTGTAATGAAGGGGCCGTTCATATACAATGAAAAAATTCGATTTTCGAACACAAAAACAAAGCTTCATTCATAAATGACGTGTAGGAAATGAAGTTTCCTTTTTGATTATGGAAATTTTTTTTAATTTTAAATTCGTTTATCTATCTGATGATGATGATGATGATTTTAATTATTGCTATGGTGGCCACATCATTCAAGGACATTATTTCATTACACAAAAAGAATTGTAATTTGTATATAGATTTGAATTTGATTGATTGATCAATTGATTGATTAACTGATTGATTGATGGATGGATTGCAAGTTGCAACCCAAAATAAACATACACAATTATCAATCAATCAATGACGAAGAAAAAAAACCACCACCATTCATTATTCATCAAACAAGGAATGGATGAAAATTTTATCCACTAAATCACAACGGGCTGGTTTGTATCGGTCATTTTTTTTCTATTCAATTTCATTTCGTTTTTTTTTGCATCTTGCAATCTCAAATTTCGGGAAATTTTACAAAAAAAAAAAAAAAAAATAAAAAAAAATTCACTTTCCACACATCCTTAAAATTGATGAGGAAAACGAATGATGATTATTATCATTATGATGATGATGTCATTGACAACAACAACAACAACAACAACTACAACTTCAACAACAACAACAACAACAACAGGCAATTAACATCGACACATGTGTGTGTGTGTGTTCAAATTATGATCATCATCAAATTGAATGAATTTGATGGAAAACAAAACAAAAAAAAAAAAAAAAAAATTCATGACGCGTTTAAATTTATATATATTGACAATGAAAAATAGTAGACAGTGATGATGGACACGCGTTTGATTGAATTGAATGAATTGAAAAAAAAATTAAAAATTTTCTCAATTTGCAATTCAATTATGAAATAAATATATATATATGAGCAATTGATCATCAAAGCAATTTTTTTATCGTTAACGGATTCTCATCACCATTGTTCACGACAAATTTTTTTTTGTTTTGTTGGTTTTATAATGATTTGATGTGCAAAAACAAACTGTGAATCCAAAATAAACATACATGTTTGAAGGTTAAAACTTTATTAATTGATTATTATTGATTTATCGTCATCGACGAGAGCCTCATTTCAATCAGTGTTTTTTTCAGCCAAATGATGACGATGATGATTGATGTGGAAATAGTTGAAAAATGTAAATAGAACCGGAAATTTCACCATTTGATTTTCCAGTTTTTTTTTGTTCGTGTTGTTGGGGGGTGGTGGTAGTAGGGGACAAAATTTTTTTTCTTATTGTCAACAGAAACAACGAAGATAGTTGAATTTTTAATCCTAAAAAAAAAAAATTCTCTTTTCGCGTTCGAATAAAAAAAAAAAGTTTTTGAAAGGAAAAAAAAAATTTTTTTTTTGCACTCGATTCTTGTGTCTGTGTTTGGGCAATAATCCAAGCTAATTATCTAAGGCTGAATTTTGGAATTAAACAACACAACAGAATGAAAAAAAAAAAAAAGTTTTGTAACAAAAACGAAAAAAAAAAAAGAAAAAGAAATCTTTACGGAACAAAACAAAAAAAAAGTTTTCAACAATTTTTTTTTTCGAACACACAGGAAAAAAAATGACAACGACAACAACGAACAACACACGTATATACAGTGGGGTGATAATGCCGGTGATGAGCTAGACAGTGAAAAAAAAAGATTGAAAAAAAATCAAATTTCCAAGATTATCTGATGGTTCACATCAACAACAACAACAACAACGCGTTTTGTTTTTAATCCAATTTTGAAAACTTTTTTTTTTTTTTTTTTTTCCGTTATTTTTTTTCGTACATGTCTCTATTATAATAAAAAAAATCATTATTCTCCATATAGAATCATGTGACCAGTAATAGTAATAATAAGAATTTCCAATGAAAGAATCCTGCTATATATGCTGATATTATGTATAACATGCTGCATATATAACAATTATTATTCTTTCGATATATATATTCTTTAATTGCTAATTAACAAGTTACACAAACACAGAATAATTAAATTCATGTGTGTGTGTGTTTGTTGTAAATCGGATTAATTAAAAAGAATTTTCATTTCGTTTCGTTGTATTTAAAAAAAAAGTTTGAAATTCCGATAGACGCAGAAAGAGAGAGAGAGAAAGTAAAGAATCAAGAATTTCGAATATCTATGATATGTTGCTAATGATGCCATCTAGTGAGCAAACAGGAAAAAAATTATTGATTCATTTTCGAAATTTTTTATTTTATATTTCACAAAAACATAGAGATGAGAGAGAGAAAAAAAAAAGTCACACACATTTATGGGCGCCATAGAGAGTAATAATAATAATAAATAGAAAAAAAATGGAAGACAATCAAGAATATTCAGAAATCAGTCGATTAGAATAATAATCAAATTATAGATTAATTAAGATTAAGATTAAGATTTTGTTGTTGATTGATCTTTGATTGCTGGTCGTATAATGGATAATTTATCCAATAATTGGTGATAAGTTTTCATGTCGAATGATAATGGTGATTGTTTTGGTTCTTTATTCATTGGAATTTTATTATTCATTTCAGTAGCCAAATGATTTTCATCATCATCACCATCATCAGCATTATGATTATTTTCATCATTTCGTTCTTTGGTAAAAATTAACGGTTCACCACCATCACCGTTATCATCATCATCATCACCATCGTCATTTTGATCATCAATAATAACACGTGATTGTCTTGCCAAAAATGCCAGATTAAACATATTTTCAATTGTTGTTGCAAAATCATTTGGATTCAATATGGCCTGAAAAAATGGTACACCATCGTTGGATTTTTTTTCCAATTTTTTCAATGTTTTATAAATATACTCTAAACGTTTATCAGATTCATCAACATTATTCATATCGTTTGATTGTTTTTGTTGTGTTGGCTGTGTGGCCACACCTGATGGTAATTTTGTTCTTGTCTGTTCTTGTTGTTGTATACGTCGTTGTTTAGTTGATGGTATGATGTTTTCATCCGTAGTGAATGTTGGCAACAAACATGGTGCCTGATAATGATAATGATCATCAAATTGTATACCAGTTGGATACAAATGTATTAACTGTATTCGTTTCATTGGATCAATATTATCAAAATAATTTGTATGTAAACAATTCTGTAACAAACGTTTACGTAATTGACGACGAAATTCATGTTTATCGAATTTTTTGACAATAGTAAATTTTCTAACCACATTAATAGATTGTTCAGCAACAAATGCCATATTTTTTGCATCCATAGGCAATAATTCATTGATGCCAAATCTTGATAAACAATTATTCTCATGATGTAAACAGGAATTTAATTTCTCTGTCATTGGAATTAGATCATGTTTCGTTGAATCAATGCAACGAATTTCGTTTAATATTTTACCAAATGCAGCTTTAGCTTCACGACGTGTTTCATCATTCAATGTTGTTGTTTTCATCATCAATTCTTTTTCTTCTTCTTCTGCTTCTTGTTGTTGTTGTTGTTCAGATGCTATTAAATCAGATTCTAAATCGAATGATTCATCATCATCATCATCAAGATCCATTTGTATATTCGTTGGTGATTCCATTTTTCAGATAATTTTGATGAAATTTACAATATGAAAGAAAGAAAAAAAAAAGAAAATACAAATTTCGAAATTGAAATTTCAACGGCCAACCAATATAACATTAACACACACACCAAATTCTGATACGTACTTGATGACGGGATATAAAAATTTCAATTTTCGTTTTTTGGTTTTATTTTATTCTTTATTTATCATCATCATCATAAAAAAAAAATTTGAGCAAATGCCCGCGTATTTTCAAATAAAAATACAAAATTCTTCGAATTCAATTTCATCTTTATTTTACAGGTTGCCATTTATTTTTTATAGATTAAAATCACAAAATTCCACCATGAAATATCTGTATTAATACGATGAAAAATACTATCAACATGACCACTACGGTCGATAAACACCATATAATACAATTGTCGCATAATTGATAATTCATTTTTAGAATCAAAATCAAAAACAAAAACACAGATTTCAAAAATTTGAATTTGATTCAATCAACAAATCATTGTCATCATCGTGTGACAATGATTTAAATACTAAAATGTCATCATTCATTGTATATACATTCAAAGTTGATGCATTTTATCATTACCCACATCATCACAACTATATTGATATATATATTCGTGGCAGTTGTCCAATTATATGTGACAAAATATATCGGTAGTACAATAGCAACAAAAATGTTATCACCAAAAAAAAAAAAAAAAAATGATGATAATCAAAATCAATATTAATCCTTTTTTTCAACAACAACAACAAAAACAAAAACACCTTGAAAATAATCAGGTCTGAGTAGTTTATTTTATTTTTGAATAACAACCAAATTCCATTGATTCCATTTCATTTTTATCTAATGTTTATCTTTTGATCACAATATTACGGATCTTTACGGATCATTAATCTTGTTGTATCCACCAGATTAAGCACAAATGATTGATTCTATTCTATGTTCTCTTTTTGTTGTTGTTGTTGCCAGAAAAAAAACATTTATAGAAAATTAAGATTACAAGTGTTTTAAAATTGGAGAAAAAAAAAGAAATTATTCAAATTCAAAATTTAGCCCAATCATCAAATTGATTGGCTTTTGTTGAATCATCATCATCATTAGACATAAATGTTTCAATCGATTCCGGTTTCAATTGGCTAGTAGCAATAGTATTGCACGATGTAAAATCTGACCATATCTGATCATTCGTTGATAATTTTGATGCAGCAGTAGTGGTTGTTGTATTTTCAATAATTGAATTATTATTATCAGCAAAAAGATCGACATGATCCGAATCTTTAGGCACGAATGATTTAAAAATTTGATCCATTGTTGATGATTCATCGATGGATTTTATTTGATTATTATTGAGCACCATTTTACGACAAGAACCATCACTACTATCATCATTATCATCATCATCATCATCATCACCATCACGATTATTTACCAAACTAGTGATATGTAATGAATCAAGATCATCCAAAAGATTAGATTTCGATGATGATTCTAAATGATCAATTGTTGTAATGGTTTTTGTTGATGATGATGATGATTGATTTGTGGAAGAGATCATTTTAGAACCAGGTGGTGGTGGTAACAGTATACCACCACCGCTAGCCGTTTTACTGGATGATTTTGGTGGTCGAGGTTTAGACGAACCAATTTTATTCTATAAATACAATGAATATGAATTTGAAACAAAAATCAATCAATCAATCAATCAATACTTACACCAATATTCAGATTAACTTTGATAGTTTCACCTTCTTTAAATTTCAAATCTAATTTTGGTCCACAATCTTCTTTTTCATCATTTTTATGTTCTAAATGAACAATTCTGTAATCATAATCATTATAATTATTTACATTGAAATCCATATTCCATCTAAATTTCTTACTTGAAATGATCTTGTAGGGCAACATTTAAATCAAAACTATCACTACGATCAATAAAACCGATGCCAACAAATGCCGTACGATTTGTTTGTTCATTAACCAAACGTAATACAAAATAACGTGATGAATCCGATACTGATTCTATTGCCATGCCTGGATATTTATCCACTGGACATTTGCCAAAAAATTGTCCAGTAGATTTTTCATCCAATTTAATAAAACAATCATCACCTTTTGCAATTAACCGTAATCGACAATTCCAATCAGGCGAATCAAGATTCCAATCTGATGCCCTGTTATATTATACAAAAATACATAAAACACAAACATTCGAAATGAAATGCGATATTCACTCACCTATAGGCACGATTCGATACACGTGGTGGAATTTTATAAACATGAACATCCGGTTTCACTAATAATACACGTTCATAATCATCCATTATTTGTGTGTGTGTGGTTGTTGAATTTTCGTTTGTTGTTTCTTGAATTTAAATTTTCACAAATATTATTGATTATCGTTTAACGCGTCTGTCACAGTAGATTCTCTATAAATTGAGAATTTTTTGCTTTGTTTAGAAAAATAAAAAATTTTATTTTATAAATGAAACTCCCATCACCATAATGAATGAATGAAACTTTTTTGTTGTTGTTGTTGTTGTCCAAATGATTGCGATGACAGTGAGCATTCAACAACAACAACAACAAAAAACAATTCGTTAGTTTTGTTGATTGGGATTAAAGGACAATAGCTAACAATATGATGACAATAAATGGGACAGCAACAACAACAAAAATCAAGTTTTTTTTCAGGTTAACGATTACCCCGTCATTTGAATGATAAATAATCAATGTGTTGAAGCTATTCACTATTTATACATCGAGTATCGAGAAAGGTTGACAATCCATTACGGTCAAAATAGATTTGTATTTGTTGTTTTTGTGGAGCTCTCTATTTTTTCAATTTTTTTTTTGAATTTAAAGTTTTCGGAGTTTTTTTTTCTTTTTTTTTTGCAAAAATGTCGGCCATTTTCAATTTTCAAAGTCTTTTGGTGGTCATTTTATTACTAATATGTACCTGTACTTATATACGATCTTTTACTAGTTTATTGGATCGTAGGAAAACCGGATTTCTTGGAACATTTTGGAAATGTGCACGTATTGGTGAACGAAAAAGTCCTTGGGTGGCTGCATGTTGTCTGATCATGGCGGCAATGGTTTTGTTTTCATGAAATGAAATTTTTTTTTATTTGTACAAAAAACAAAAATTTTTTTTTTCGAATAATAATAAAATCAATTTAATTTACATTACACATAAGATTACACACACACATTATTCATTGTCAAATTAATTTATCAAGAATTCTGGTGATTGGAATTTGTTGCATTCAATGGTCCTAACGATTTGAAAGGACTACCAACACCACCAGCACTTGTATTCATTTTATTTGTTGATGATGATAATTTCTTTTTCTTTTGAACATATTCCACTTCATCGAATGCTTTACGTGCACGTTTTAATTCTTCATTCATTGATAATAAATCTTTAACACGTGAATATTTACGTTGATCACGGCGTACTAGATACATTACATCTTCAACAGTAACACGTCCTGTTCGTCCAATTTCTAATGCTTCAAGTGCAATATGACCAATGAATGAAATTACTAGATCTTCAAGCATATCAACAGTTTCAGTGTATGGATTTTGATCATCACCAAATCCATACATCATACAGCGTAGCTCTTTTGAGAATAAACGTTTCTTTTTATCAGTTTGTTGTTGATGCTGATGCTGCTGTGGTTGTTGCTGCTGTTGTTGTGTTGGTGGATGACAATGTGATGATGATGATGATGATGATTTATCGACATTCGACGAGGTTTGTTCATCTTGCGTTTTACCAATCGATTCGGAATTTGAATTGTCCAAAGATTTGTCCAAATTTTCATCATTATTAGTAGTGGCCATATTGTTTTATATTGTACACGTATTTGTGATTATGTTGGAGTTTGAAATAAAAACGATGATTTACTTAAAAAAATTAAAATTAAATGAAATTAAATTAAATTAAAATCTTAGAACCACAACAATATTGTGTATTCATCATCATGTCCAAAAAGTTTCTCACGTCGATTGTAATGATTCTTTCAGAAAACTTTTCGCACATGTTTTTGGATGATTGCAAATTTTTGTAAGAATTTCGATCAATTTTCAATTTATTTATAAACAATGAAGTTGTCGAAAAGAAAATCATCAGATTCGCAGCCACAGAATCAAAAAAAGATTAAATCTTTAATTGAAAATGAAATTTTAAAAAATTTTCAACAATTATCATCAAATCCAGACAATTTTTTATTGTAAGTTTTTCATTTTTGTTGTTGTTGTCGTCATTGTAATAATTGTTCAATCCTTTCTAATAGGCCAAATGAAGACATTTCATTGAAATTTAAAACAATCAAAAACATTATATGATCATGGCCAAAAAATGATGGCCGATTTGAATATTTCAATCAAATCGATCGGCAAAGAAAAACAATCATTGAAACCATTGAAGAATCTATTGATTGATCAATTCGATGATGAACAAATTTGGCAACAACTTTGAACTATTCAATCAATCATTTATTGTACATTCTGTCGATGATATATCGAAATTATTATCAAATCGAATGCCAATAACGTTGAATATTGATATGACCACAGACGACAACCGCACTGTTAACGTTAATAATGTAGTTGTTACAAAACCAATACTGAAACAAAATGAAAAAACAATTTCTATTCCAAAAGAAAAGAAATGTGTAAAATTTCAATTGATAGAACCAATCACTACTACAATTGATAAAGTAAAATCTACGGTTAATAAAGTGGATTTTTTCGATCTTAATGAAATGGAACGATATCTTGATGAACAAGATGAAAAAGAAATGCAAGACAACAATCATAATGAGTATGATGATGATGATGATATTGAACAAATTGATCATCTGTATGAATTTCCATCCGATAATGATGATGAGGATGAAGAAAATGATGATCAAGAGACGATGTATTCTGATTTTTTCGATCCTCCATCCACTGCAAACAAACGACAACAAGCAATGAATTTTGATGATGAAAATGACGAAGAAGAGAACGAAGAAGATGGTGATTACCAAGATGATGATATTGACTTGGATACTCGTGATTATGATATGAATGAAAATGACGATGACAATGATGATGAGGATGATGAAATTAATCAACAACTGAAAGCATTAGCAAATAATGAGGATGATGATTCGAATATTGATGGTGATCCGGAAAAATCGGAATATGAAAAAAGTCAATTACGGCTACAGCAACGAATCAAGAAAGCTGAACAAGAACTTTTATTACCAAGTGATTTACGATGGCAATTTGCTGGTGAAACTAATGCCGGTGTTCGACCATCGAATAGTTTATTGGAAGAACATGTTCAATTTGATCATGTATCTCGGCCACCACCATTAATAACTGATGAAACTACTGCTAATTTAGAAACATTAATCAAACAACGTATCAAAGATAAAGTATTCGATGATGTTGAACGTAAAGTGAAACCAAAAGAACAACCATTCGAATTTCGTCGCCGTATTATGTTGGAATCGGAAAAAAGTAAAATTGGCTTGGCCGAAGTTTATGAACAAGAATATCTTAAACAACAACAGAAACAAAAAGAACAAGAAATCGGAGCAACTGCTACAGCATTGGATGCATTTGTTTCCATAGGCGAAGTAGAAGAAAATGAAACACGTAAAGAAATTCGTCGCCACATTCGTTTACTATTTCGTAAACTTGATTCATTATCGGCATTCCATTATACACCACGACCACCTGCGCCTGAAGTTAAAATCCTAACAAATTTACCAGCCGTAACAGTGGAAGAAATTGTACCGGATTCTGTTAGCGATATGAAATTATTAGCACCAGAAGAAGTGTTTAGTACACGTGATAAAAAAGTTTTACAAGACCGAGGTGAACGTACACAGACGGATAAGAAACGTTCACGACGATTAAAGAAAAAGAAACAAAGTGTTAAACAACGATTTATTCAATCATCAAAAATGAAATTAAATGCTCATCATCATCATGCAGATAAACGAAAATTGGAAATTGAAGCCATAGAAGATGGTAAAAGTTTAAAATCATCGACAAAATTTTTCCAACGTTTACAAGAAAAAAATGAATTACAAAAAATACAGAAAAAAGCCAAACCAATAATCATTCAGCAAGCCAATTTGGCTAAAAAATTGAAATTATAGATGTAGGTTTTTTTTATTTTATTTTTTGAGATATGAAAAATAAAATTTTGAATTTGAATAATAAAATACACATTATTTTTGTGTTTTACGACGTTTATTTCGAATATGATGCCCTTTGGCTGCACCTTTTTGGGCACTTTTTACAATTGCTTTCAATTGACCACGTTGTTTTAGTTGTTTACGTCTATTCAATGACATTGCATTCAATGGATAATAAGCATATGGATCAGGTAGGCCACGTCGTTTCATATCACCAGAAGCTTTTTTCGATCTATAAACATCACCACCACCACCGTGATGGTTTGTGATTGAACTTTTTTTAGATTTTGTAGATTTTTTCGATGATATCGTTGATTTGTTATCATTGCCTGTTGTTGATGATGTAGCAACAACAGGTCGATGAATACCACGACCACCTGGTTTATAAGATTTTGATTTGAATTGTGTATCATCATCTGAATCGTCATCAGAATCATCATCATCATCATTGTTATTCAAATCATCAGCTGATCGTTTTTGACCACGTTTTCCTTCCAATTGATCAAGTAATCTACCAATATTTAAACGACCATCTTCACCATATGGTAAATTATTATTATTATTTGAATTGTTATCTACTGATGAATCATTATTATGTTGTTGTTGTTGTTGTTGTTTATAGTTTGTCGGTATTTTTGAAAAAACATTTTGTTTTGCATTCGAACTAAGCAAATCAATAGGATCACCATCCACAGATTCACGTATATAGCTTTTGATCGATACATTTGAAAGACGAGAAGTGATATCCAAATGTTTATTTGTACGGCTACGAAAACTTTTCCTGATACTGTGGCCATCATCATCATCATCATCATCACCAATATCATCGAATTCATCATTAACAAAACGTTCGACATCTTCTTCATCGTCATCGGAAAAATCAAGATATTTTCGTGATTTTCTTGATTTTTGAACGACTGTAAAAATGTATAAATCAAGATTATAAGCAAAAAAAAACTAAAAAAAAATTCAAAACTTACATTGATTTTCGATCCGATTGGCCATCGCCATCATCATTATCGTCATCAGATGTTGATTGTTTTTTCTGTTTCTTTTTTCGTTCTTCCAATTTTCGAATATTTTTCATCACTTTTTTATAATCATCTGACACCATACTATCGATTAGATCGAAACCAAATTTACGACAAAGTTTTGTCAATAAAACTTTAACAGTTTGATGAAACTTGGTTCGATGTTCAATGGGTAGATTGGTAATACCACAGGTAATGACTTCAATATAACAATTAAAAAGATTTGACGTTGATTTCAGTAAAAAATGACGAATAAATTCAAAACAAATATTCAACAATGGTCGTGTACAATGATCAAGATTTTCTGTGGAAAAACATGAAAAAACCGTATCGGCAATCGTAGCAACAAGACTTTCTTTGATTAATGGATGATGAAATTTTTCAACAAACAAATAGACAATTGCATCCAAACGTGATGTTCGTTCATCATTGGTTATTTTACCATCATGAATAATTGGATCAATAATCAATCGGATTAATTTTTCATATGCATCATGTTTATTACCGCTACCACCACCATCGGCTGAAGAAGCAAACATTTCAAAACAATCAGATATGGTGAGTAAAATTTTTCTTGCTTGTTTTTTTGTTTTCGATGATTTTATCGTCAATTGTTTCAATATAGATGGTACGAAATTTTGTATTAAAATCATTACATTACTACGGTTTCCATCATCATCATCATCATCATTGATCAATCGTTGAATAATTAAATTAAATAAACGAAGTGCATATGATCTTGATGATGGTGAACGAATTTTATCATTTTCAAATAAAGAAATCATCTGATTAACAATGTGTTCCATATGTTTACGTAGAAATTCATCACAACTATTTGATTTACTTTGTACAATAGGTTCAATTAAACGAAAACCTTTTTTCTGTTCAGCTGGTAATTTACTTTCTTCAATCAATGGATTAACTAGTTGATTGTAGACATATTCAATTTCATTCAATCGAAGATTTTCTGGTGTCCATAAAAATGCATCAACCAAATCGATCAAAGCCATACGACGAAAATCTGTACCAGTTGATTCTTTTAAAATGGTGATTAATTTATTGAAAAATTGATGATACAAATCATCATCAACAGAATTATTATTATCCATCAACATGTAACGAATCAAATGTTTGACAATAACATATACTGGATAACGAAGATCATGATCAATACGGGTATTTTCATTTTCATTTGTATAAATATTGAATAAAATTGGTAATAAATTTTTAGCAAATGAACCAACCATACATTGGATTGAATGATCACATTTGAATAGATTTCTCAATGCAACCAATGAATAGATGGCCAATTCTTTGTTATAAAGATTTTCACCGATACGTTTAGCAATTTTTGGAAATACAACCATCATATCTGTCGGTCGTCGACATAATGCCGGTAATAATGACCAAATAGCATGAACACATCGATTCAATTCTTTCATCATTACTATCAAACAAGATTCATATGATGAACAATGAATTGATGATGATTGATCATTATCATCATCATTATCAATTTGCATCGAATTTTTAGTTGATTCTTTTAATTTTTGTGTTATTTTTTGACATAACGATACTTTTTTCATCAATTCATCTACCATGGGCAAGAAATGATTGGCGAATAGAGCCAATTCACAATTACCATCAATATTTTCACGTAATAATGGTATGAGCCATGCATTAGAAAATTCACCACGAAATTCATTATATTCACTCATTGATGATGATGATGACGATGTTGATGTTTTCCAAACAATCGGACAATATTGTAATACAAATTGTGGACCATGTGATTGGATTATTTTGGCAAAAACTTTTTCCAAAACATCATTAACATCGTTATCATTGGATTCATAAATAATAGCCATACGTTGTATGATTGCACCCATTTTAGTTAGTAATCGAGTTTCTTTAGTCACCAAAAAAACTTCACCGAAAATTGGTATAAATTCCATCCATACATGGCTATATTGATATTTTAAACCATTGTCCATTTCTTCATACAATTTTTCCAATAAATCAATCGATGATCCATTAGGATCTTCAATAATCGTTTTCATCATCGATTTGATCGAATTGACAATGTTCATATGAACAGCAGTGCTATCACTTTGTAAAATGGTAATAAATGTACGGAATAATTTCGGTGCATGAGAAGAAAAAAGTTTTCTATCAAGATCATGAAGACAGAGTAGAGCTTCTTTGATTGCAGCACACCATGCCTGTAATGGTTGTTCATCATTAATATTTGGTTGATAATCATATAAAGCATTCAATAGACGAGCATTCAATTCGGCACTTAATACATTTGCCATTGGACGACGAAGAAAAAATGAATAGAATGTATGCAATGCTCCGGTCACCAATAGGATATTGCCCAAAGTCATGTGTGAAAGAATTGATTCAGCCAAATGTTTTGTATGTTGAACCGATGGAAACATGGCCATTGTATCGGCTAACAATGTTAGCACATATAAAACGATATTCAAATGTTCATCATTAGTTGTTGATAAATGTTGATCAAGTTTACGTATACAGAATTCAGCCGTTAATTTTGCCGCAATCTGTGAGCAATTTTGATTTGAATTTTCGGATTTACGATCGCCACCACAACAAACCAACGATATGACAGCAAAACAAGCTGCTTTACGAATACGTGGTTTTTGATGTGTTACAAACAAAAGTATTGTGTCGAATATTTGTTGAGTGGATTTCAGTTGCCATACGGCAAGTTCTTGATTTCGTAACAATGTATGTAATGCATTGATTACCGATTTTGTTAGGTAACCATTTGGATTGGCCACATTAATTTGTTGTGATAATATCTTCATCAATGCAGTGGATGTTTCAGAAAATTTTGATCGTAAAACAGATGTTTGAACACGTTTCAATATCATTTGTAATAACGCTAATGTAGCAGTTAATCGTTCCTCTGAATCTACACAATCCAAAGCCAACATAAGTCCGGAAAAATATTCAGTTTCAGTTTCATTTCCATTCTCTTTGTCGATTGCATCACGAACAGTGGCCAATACCGTTAGCATAGCTTTGTGAATCTTGGATTTTGGATCAAAACCGTTGAGAAATTTATCAAAACTAACATTTGTACAATTTGACCATATACTGGCCGCTGATATATTACCAATGGTGAATGCATCATCCGGTATAGATTGATCATCATCATTCATAGGTTCATTGTTGGAAGTTCCACTTTTAGAATTACTACTATCATTTTCGTCTTGATTTTTTGATATTTGTAACCAATTTTCAACACCTGACTTTTTGTTGTTGTTCGGGCACACCATTAATTGAATTACGTTGTTTTTGTTGTTGAATGGCATCAAATTTTTCCAACATTTCACGTGTTAATTTTGGTTTCAATGAATGAGTGGATTTATCACCCAATTCGGACGTAGAAATGCCGATTAATTTTGCAATTTTGGCACGATGTTTTTTCGTTTCAGGATTCGATGAACATGCTTGTCCTCTGAGTAATTTTTTTCCACGACCACGGCTAGCTCGAGCTGCTATTCGAGTCATGATTAATGAATCACAATTAGTGAAAAAAAAACTTATCCGAACAAACAAGAACAATTTTTGAACAGAAAAATTCAATCAATTGAAATGATAAAACACGTGGTCTGGTTACTGTGGATCGCGTGTTTCGATTTACACGGATCCACTATAATCACACAATATGTGATCTTTGTGTTACAATAGAATGAATCTTTTATTTGGAAGAATTTTTTGGATAAAAATCCAAAAAATTAATGCATCAACGATAAAACTGATTGTGAGATTAATTTCCAGAATAAACAACATCACATCTATTATCTAAATAGCCAAATATTCTTCCAATCAATTGCATTGGTGAGTGTTGTTGTTGATTTTTTCTTGTTCCTTTGATCTTCGAACAACAAAAAAAAACCCACATCGATCGATAAATTTCGTCAACAATCAACAATCTTTTTATTATTTGCTACCGAAAACTGTACCCATCATATTATTCATCATCAATCAATGATTGTTTATTCGATCTAATCGATATTTACATGTATGTAAACAACACATGCTTGTTCAACAACAACTATATGCATGATGATAAAAAAAATTTTTTGAACAACAGATCCTTTTAGGAGAAAAAAATTTTTGATTTCATGACATTTCTCTTGATGTATCGTTTTTTTTTTTTTTTTCTCGTTTTGTTTAGTTTTTGGCCATTAGAATGATGAATATATGATCAAATGAGTCTTTTTCTTTTTTTTCAGATGAAAAATTCGAATCATTTTTTTCATTAACAATTGCTACGTTGTATGATCATCATCATCAATAGACAATAGAAAATGAATCCATTAAATGATAATAAAGGAAAACATCATCATCATCATCAACAACAACGACAAGATTCAGCCTTTACATTCAATTATCTTTATACCTGTGATATTGAAGATGTTTTATTTCGTGTGAAAATGTAAGTTTTGAAAAACTTTGAAATTTTGCCAATAATTTACTCCCATTTTTCTCTTTTTCTCAAGTGTAAATCTTGATGGTATTTTACCACCACATAGTAAAAATTCATCACAACATACAACACATGGTGCTGATTCATCCAAATCATCATCATCATCACCATCATCATCATTCAATTTTACCAGTGTCCATAATCATTACGAATATAATATTGTTGAAGATGAAAATAATTTCACATTTATTGATGATATAATTAGCTCCGATGATGATGATGATGATGATAAAGATGATGAAAATAAAAATGGTGGCCATGATCAAAGTGGTGATAAATTAGATGATAATGAAGCTACAACTAGTGGAATTGAATCTGATGAATATCGTGCTCATCATCATCATCCACAGCAGCAGCAATCATCATCATCATTTCTTCATCCGATTTCAGCTCATGACAATAGTTTGGATTACAACAAAGAATTGAAAAAGAAACAAAAGAAAAAGAAAAAATTGAATGAAATTATTTTTGGCAATCTGAATCAACCATTTCGTGCATTATCAAATCATCCATATCTAACTTGTGATTTAATATCAAATGGACGACGATTATGTCCACCACAACAGACACAATATCGACAGATGATTAATCGTTATGAGTAAGTTTAAAAAGTTTTTTTTCTTCTGAATTTTTTTTTAATTTTTTTCTTTGAACAAATTCTAGATGGAATGAATGGCTTTCGTTTTCATTGACATTGGATACATTGCCACGTGATACAATCATTTGTTTCACCATTTGGGATACAATTTGTCCTGGTAAAAGTGCTGCCGTTGCTCGTACCAGTATGACATTGTTTAGCAAACGTGGCTGTATGCGTAAAGGTTTATATGATTTACGATTATTTTTCAATGAAGATTGTAAAGAATATTATTACAATGGCCAAACGAAAATGACGAATCCAACAATGGTGGTGGAACAACAGCCACCACCAATATCAACAATAAGTAATGATATTATCACCACGGATATTGTTTTAACCGACATAAATCTAACAAGTCGTAAACATCGAAAAAATGAATTAGTAATCAATGAAAATGATTTAATACCAAAACTACGAAAACATTTAAATCTTGGCCATTCAAAAGATTCACAATTATTTCATTTTAATAATCAACAAAATCGTAAATTACAACAACAACAAATGAAAAATTTTCAACCAGAATCATTGGAATTTACATCCACACAGCAATATTTTGAACAAGATCTAAGTATGTATCCAATTGGTACTGGTGATAAGTCGAAAAAAATTCAACGTTTTAATAAGCTTAAAAAACGATATTATAATAACCAATTGCCAAAAAGAGAATCTCAGGATAGACGAGCATTTGCTGAAATTGAAAAACAAACCGTTATGGAAAAATCACTTAGCACGTTTGTATTTCTTACCGTTGAATTTCCAATCATAATAATGGATGGTATTGAACATACGGCTGTTTATTTCGAAGATAAAGATGACCAATGTTGTCAATATGATATCATTGATAAAGATATCGTAACCATACAGGATCCAGAAATGAATCTACCGAATTTAGTTGAAATTAAACATCATGCATTAGCACGTTCAGCACGATCAGGTATCTCATTGCGTGATCTTAAACCAAATGCAACCATACGTAATCAATTGAATGCAATTGTTAATTATCCATCAACACAACAATTGACCAGTGAAGAACAGGATTTAATTTGGAAATTTCGTTTCTATCTACGTAATCAGAAAAAAGCATTGACAAAATTCCTGAAAACAGTTAATTGGCAATCAATATCTGAAGCTGAACAAGCAATCGAATTAATGAATGAATGGTCACCGATGGATGTGGACGATGCTCTGGAACTATTATCACCATATTTTACACATCCAGCTGTTAGAAAATATGCTGTCGGTAGATTGAAAGAATCGGCATCAGATGAAGATCTACTTTTGTATCTTTTACAATTAGTACAGGCATTGAAATATGAAAATTTTCAGGAAATTCGTCAAGCACATGAAAATGAATTATTGGAATATCAACAACAACAACAACAACAACAGCAGCAGCAGCAACAACTTCAACAACATGCAATTCATCGTGAACGTAAATCACAATCGGAAAGTATCTCAAGTACTACCGATACTTTAATGCCAGAATCGATGAAAATATTTGCATCAACACCATCTTCGAATACTTCTACCATTGTTTCAACTTCTACAACGGTGGATACTACCACTGTTGATCATCCATCATCATCATCGATCATACAACAGCAAGGAAAATCACCAACACGTGATAAACAACGTCGTTTACAAAATGATGATAATCTAGCAACATTTCTACTGAATCGTTCATGTCAAAATGATGAATTGGCCAATTATTTTTTCTGGTATCTTTGTGTTGAATGTGAAGGTGCTAAAAGTTTCGGATCAGGTTCCAGCACTGCTGCTGTTTCTTCTGGTGTTGTTGAACCCAAATCATCCACATCATCGACAACGAATATTCAAATTTTTCCAAGTGTCATGTCATCTGTTGCCACTAATTCATATCTGGTACCTCCACCACCTCCATCAATAATTGAATGGGAAAATGAACAACATCAACAACAACAACAACAACAACAGCAGCAAAAACAAACAAAATTACCAGCATCAAGTGTGAATGAATTGAGTGGATCATATTCAATAACGAATGTAATCGACATGTACATTATAATGATGCGAAGATTTAGTACACGATTATTGTGTGGTACACCTGAAATGGTTCATCGACGTCATTTTCTATTACGGCAACAAGATTTTGTTGTAAAATTAGTGGAAATTATGAAAGAAATTGCACGTGAAAGTGGTAATCGAATGAAAAAAATTGAAAAACTTCAATCCATCCTTGAATCACCGGAGCCACAGTTTCGTTTTAATTTCAATAAAAATGATCCACTACCATTGCCATTGAATCCAACCATACGAATAATTGGTGTGGCCAGTAAAGAAGCTTTGCTTTATAAATCGGCAACAATGCCAGCCAAACTTGGTTTTCGCACAACATCTGGTCAGATATTTTGGACAATATTCAAAAATGGTGATGATCTTCGCCAAGATGATCTTGTATTGCAGATGATAAATTTAATGGATAAATTATTGCGTAAAGAAAATCTGGATTTAAAACTAACACCATATCGTGTATTGGCCTGTAGTAGTAAACATGGTTTTGTACAATTTATTGATTCACAATCGGTTGCTGAAGTTATGTCGATTGAAGGATCCATACAGAATTATTTACGTAAAATTTCACATTTTACAAACACAACACCGACAATTTCATCCATGAATGATGATGATTTTCAGGTTGTATCCACTACGTGCACAGCAACAACAATACAATCATCAAGTGGTAGACAACGTGGAATAACAGCAGCAGCAGCAGCAACAACAACAACAACAACAACAAGTGGTTCATCACCATCATTATCGCCATCATCTGGACTGAATCAAATGGGTATTTCATTGGAAATTATGGATGCCTATATTAAATCTTGTGGTAAGTATTCCTGTTTTTTGTGATTTAAAAGATTATGATGATGGTGGTGATTTGTTTTTTTTTCATCCAATCCATCAATTAATAATAGCCGGTTATTGTGTCATTACCTATCTATTGGGCGTTGGTGATCGTCATTTAGATAATTTACTCATGACAAAAACTGGTCGTTTATTTCATATTGATTTTGGTTTCATTCTTGGACGTGATCCAAAACTAAGTAAACCACCGATGAAAATTACACGTGAAATGGTCGACGCTATGGGCGGAATGGATTCGGAAAATTTTTATAAATTCTGTTCATTTGTACGGACAGCATTTTTACATCTACGTAGACATGCAAATCTTATATTGAATTTATTTTCATTAATGATCGATGCAAACGTGCCTGACATTGCATTAGAACCGGATAAAACTGTACAAAAAGTTCAGGATAAATTTAAATTAGAATTAAATGATGAACAAGCTGATCATTATATAACGGAACAAGTTGAACAAAGTGTTCGTTCCATAATGCCAGTAGTGGTGGATCAATTACATAAAATGGCACAGGTATGTTCATATTTCATGGAAACTAATTTTTCTTTTTTTTTCTCCTAGTTGGAACATTTTAATTAATTTTGTTGTTTTTTTTTTTGGTTATCTCTTTTCATTTCTGAATTCATCATCATCATCATTGCCATGTTTTGATGGTCATCTACACATTCTGTTTAATCAATCACCATCATCATCATCAACAGTATTTACGAAACTAAATTGGTGGCGTCCTGAAATTTTGTGTGGATCAAAATCATGATGATCATGTGGAATGTTTATAAACCACCTCTTTTTTATTTTCTCATTCACTAAATGCTCAGGCAAAATCTTCCATATCTTTCATATTTATATAAATTGTTGGAAACTTTTATAATCTTGTCATCATTGTATTTTATTATTATAATACCAACGACACTTGTCCATTTTGTCGTTGTCGTTGTCGTTGTCGTTGTTGTTGTTATCATTTTTTTTTTTGTTTTATTATTTCACTTGAAATGAAATGGTCAAATTCTGATATCATCATCATTCAATGTCTAAATGGGAAAAAAAACATAAAATGTTTTTTTTTTTAATAATTTATAATATATAGATAGAAACACACAAAAGGTTTATGTTTTTGTTTTGTTTTATCAATTATATCACTGTATATTTGAATAATCCACACACACAAAATCATCATAATCTTTCTATATATATATTGTAATTTCGTCATTCCTGGGATTTTTTTTTCGATTCGAATGTTTTGGTTTGATTGTGAAAACGAAATGAAAATGTACCTTGTGTGTGTGTGTATATGGAGTAGGATTTCGTAAAACGGTGCCATAGAATCTATGATCATGATGATGATGATGACTTGACGACGGTTGACAAGTATACCGGAATTTTTAGATTTTTTTTCAGTTGCGAAAGAAATTTTTTTTTCTTTCGGTTTTGTTTTGGATCCAAATACTGTCTGCAAACATTTGCAAATGTTTCATTGTTTTCAAATGAACATTTTGAGATTATGTTGCAGATCTGTATTTGTTTTTTTTGTTTTGTTTCAAGGACAAATGAATGTCGGATAATAATCCATATATAGTTTTTTTGTTTCGTTTTTGGTTCAAATTCCATTTCCTAATACCGAATTGCAACATTACCAAATTGTCCAAATTATTTTTTGTTTTATGATTATAAATGGTCATCATTATTATTATGACGAGAAAAAATGATCATCATTTAAAAATGAATAATTTAAAAACCATATTCAATCTTCTTAATTTGATGTCGTCGTTGTCGTCGTAGTAGTAGTGGTGGTAGCAGTAGTAATGGTCATTAATAATCATCACATTGATGATGATTTCATCAATTTTTCGTCTGTTTGTTTGTTTATTCATTTGATTGATTGATTGATTGATTAATCAAAGTTTTTTTTCTTTGATTGAAAATAAAATAATGGCAACAATATAGTTACCGAATCGGACACCGGAGAACCAAATAACAAAAACCGTTAATAAATAATAACATTTCAATCGATTGATTGATTGATTGATTGATCGTCATGAATAAAATGAGTACATACTTTATGAATGGCAGTCAAATCATCAAATCGAATGTTATATATGTTATATATTCTGTTTCTATTCGTCATTCCATTCATTCGATTCAATGTTTCAATGTTTGAATTGGCCATAAAAAAATAGTGGTGATTGATTTTTGTTTTATGATCATATCAAATCATTTCGTTTTGTTTTGTTTTCGTTCTCTTAGATCATAAAAAAAATGTTTTTTTTTTGTCTATTTATTTGGTCATTATGTGATTGATTTGGTCCCGAATCGATGGTCATTTCGTTTGTTTTCAATGTCCATGTTGAAAAAAAAAAAATTTTTTCATTTCCATCAGAAAAAAAACCTGTAACCATTTTGAAAAGTGTAAAAGAAAAAAAAAAACAAAACACACACACACACACATTGAAATCGGTTTCCGGGCTTCTGTGTTTGCTAATAGTAGTAGTAGTAGTAGTAATGTTTAGAAGAATATATAAAAAGTTTATCTCATCAATTCAATCAATCCATAATAAAAAGTTCATAAAAGTCAAATATTATGTCGGTGTGCATATGTGTGTTCAACACAAATATTTGACTATATGAACGATGAACATAAACAGAATATATATTCATATTTGCCAAGAATGAATGAATGGACCACGAACGAATACGAAAAAAACGACCATATATACAAGCACATGTCATTCGATTGCTTGATTAATCTCTTGATTTGTACCCAATTTATGACGCCTGTTTTTTCATTTTTTTTTTTTTTTTTTGTTGTTGTTGTTCATTTTTTTTTTCGTTTCTGGTTCATTCATTCATTCATTGTATTCTTGATTCTGTATTCTGCATATTTTTTTTCTTCTTCTCTCATGATTCTTCATGTTGTTGTTGTCGTTATCGTTATCGTCGTCGTTGTCGTTGTCGTCGTCATCGTCGGTATGGTCGCCATGTACCATACGGTTTTTTTTCTGGTCGTTTTTTTTTCTTTCTCAATTTTTTTTTTGATCCATGATACTTGAATATGGTGCCACTTCTTTATATAATTCTCGCCCTTTCTCTTCCCCCCTTCCAACACAGTCATACATTTGTCACTTTTTTTTAATGTTCCATTTTTTTGGTGGGGCGTTTATTTTTTTTTTTATGGAAATGAATGTATAGAGAGCGAAAAAATGAGAAAGTAATTCAGAATCAGTAGAGAGAATAAATGAACTCGTTTTTTTTGCCATTGATATGGATTGAAGAATATGTTTGGATTTGGAATAGAAGATTCTGTATTCTGTATATATTGGTGATGGTAATGGTGTTGTTGATGATGATGATGATGATGATGGGGGGGCGATAATGAGAAATGATAGGAAAAAGAAAAAAAAAGACAAAGAAAAAAACAAGAGGAATAGTGGAGGGAAAAAAAATAATGGTGGCGGTGGTGGTGGTGGTGGTGAATTGAAGAACAGTTTTGGTGAATGACTGGTGGCCATCAAAATTGGCGTGTATATATCACATACAAACAAACATTCGATTCGAATTCTGTTGGAATGAAACAACGGCAATGACGACGAAAACTTGGTAGAATTTTTTTTTTTTTTTTGTTGTTGGTCGAAAATGAAATGAAATGAAAGAACCAAAAAAAAAAAAATCATAGTCATTCATTGTGTTTTGTCAAGAACCAACTTTTTGTTGTTTTTCTTTTTTTTTTTTTTTTTTTGGTTCTGGTTATCTATCTGATAGTTCTGCATACACTTACACACAGACACACTGGGTGTTATATACAGCCAGTTATTTTTTTTTTTTTTGATCATTTAGTTGGTCGGTCGGTCTTTTGGTGGTCGTTTTGGCCGTCATCATCATCATCATCATCAATCAACATTGTCGTCGGTTACCAAACCAACCACATATATACCAGAAAAAAAACCCACACATAATTATAACCAGTGAAAGAAAAAAAAAATAATTCAAGAAAATCATACACCACACGCACACACACACTTGAATAACAACAAACGATCAACAACAAACAACAAATGAAATCTGAACCAAATCGATCAATCGATAATCAATGGATGAAATGAAAAATATTCAACACTTTGCGTTCAGAAAAAAATCGAACATCATTTGATTTTTCGTTCTATGTGAACAAAACAGAAAAAAATTTCCCGTAAAAATTTTTTTTCCTGCAAAAAAAAATTTTCAATAAAATTCCTGTTTCAATATTTCGAACCATGTTGATCATTCATTCATTCATTCATCGTTCGATTCATCAAGTTTCAACAACAACAACAACAATATGAATGAATGAATGAATCTTTCATCACTCAGAATTTGTTGTTGTTGTTGTTGTCATTGTTGGTTGATTGATTAAATCATTTATTTACACATTTTGGTGATTGTGTGTGTGTGTGTGTGTGTTGTGTTTTTGATCATCATCTATGCAAAGACAACGATGGCCACATTTTTACAAAAAATAAAAATTTCTCACCATTCTACAGTGTTCAGAATATAATCAATTGAATTTGTTCAAATGTGTTGTTCATGTCCAATTCATCATCATAATAATGTTAAAATTGTCATTATTACAATATATCACAAATATCATCAATGTTTGACTTGTTTTTCATTTTTTTTTTTTTTTTGGAAATTCGAAATTATTATTGATGAAAATAACAAAAATTTCATTAAATTCAACCACCAAATAGAATAAATGATTGATTTTGTTTGTACACAATGTTTTTTCGGAATTTCGGTAAGTTCAATTCATTTCGAACACCTGAGATTTGCCCAAACACACTCACACACACACACACACACATTATTGAAAAAACCATACTGGGTCATAATAGTTTCCGGTTATAATAATAATAAATTTTCAGAATTCTGGTTGAATGAATTTTCTAATTTTATTAAAAATTCTATTTTGTTGTTGTTACCATTGTTATATAATCATCAGATCGGTTAATAATAATTGTGGCCATATTATAGAAACAAAACACAGAATTTTGAATAAAATTTATTACAGGTACAATTGACACACCCAAAGTTCATTGTCGACAAATTGGTTAATTCGTGACTTTATCTATTATTATTATTATCATGTGTGTGTGTGTATGCGCGCTGTCTTGACAAAAAAAAAAAAAATAAAATAAATCTCGGCCAAATCCATACAACAGCAAAGAATCATTCATTTGAACATTCTTGTTGTGAATTTTGATTGCCAATCAAAATCAAATTCTAATAATGAATGAACAGGATGACCAACTAAAATCGAAATCGATTTTTAATTTGAAAAAAAAATAAAAATAATATCAAGGCCAACATATTATATATTTTATATTTGGTCAATTTTCCATTTTTTTTTCTTCTTCATTGGTTATGATATCTGATAATCTTAATGACCACACAACGAAAACAAAACAAAACAAAACAAAAACCACTGTTTATCTATCCATTTTTTCTTCTCAACATGTGAAAATGTTTTATTTACTCACGAATCACATAATTTGTTCTTGCAAAAAAAAAACAAAACGAAAAAACTCAACCTGAATCTTTTTCGTGTGTTTGTTTTGTTGTTGTTGTTATTGTATGCGTTCGATTTCATTTGTAATTTTTCCAATTTTTTTTTGGTTCTCGTTTGTTTGATCTAATTTTTTTCTCTTCTCTCCATGTCTGAATTGAAATTTTCTTTTTCACTTTTTTTTCTCATAATTTGATGAAATGAAAAAGCCACAAAATAATGATGAATAAATGATACACATGATTGTAATCTTAACCCTTTTTTTTGCTGTTGTTGGCCATCTTAAATACAGCCAAAAAAAAACTAAATTTTTTTTCTTCATTTTGATAAATGATTATTTGTCATTTTTGAATTGAAATTCAAGAATGACAAATAACGGGAACAACAGAATTTTTTTTCTTTATTTCTGCATCACACATACACATACACACATGAACGAAAGAGTTATTGTTATCAAACTGCCATGATGATATTTTTGATGATGACACCAACTATTCGACCACTAACCAACAACAACAACAACAACAACAACAAAAAACGAACATGGATAATGAATGAGACTTGAATTATTGGAATGATGATGACCATGACCAGAATTCTCAATGTTGAATGAATAGATAATAATTCATTCGTCATCATCATCATCATCATATATTATATAAACCGGAAAAAAATTGAATTGAACCCAAAACAACATCTTTTTTTTTTTGGTTCATTTTTCTTCTCTAAATTTGATCCGGTCTGGTATGAAAGAGAAAAAAATTGATTTATTGGCTTTTTTTCTGGATGTTTTTCTCATTGCTATTGTTGTGGTTGTTGTCGTCGATGTTCTGGCGCTGATGTATGATCATCATGAGCAGCAAATAACCAAAAAACTGAGAATTTTGTCAATTTTCTTGATGATTCTTAATACAGAAAAAAAAATTGAGATCATATTCGGAAATTTCACACCTTGAATCCAGACAGAAAAAGCCATGTTAGCCCATTATCTTCAAATTAAATCAATCCGGTTCGTTGAATCAGAGAAATCAACATTCACTTCTGTGGCCAACGATGAAGAATAAATGTCATAAACATAATCTATGGCCAATGGCCAACAACCAATAATTATTCATCATCATCAGCAGCAGCAACAACAACAACAACAACAACGACAACAAAATATGGATACAAAATATCAATTCCGATATGAATTAGTCATCAATTCGATTTTATCGAGCATGATGGCAGTGGATGGAAATTGTTTTTGTTATTCGAAATAACAAAAAAAAAATAGATTGGTCAGATAGAAAAAAAGCGAACAATTTTTTCATCATTTTTCGATATAGTTGTTGTATGTATCAAAAAGTATCGATTGTAGAATCGATTATCGAACATACGGATATAATGATTCGATTGTGTGTTTGTGTGTTGCTGTGTGTTTGTGTCTGGTTCGAGAATATATTTTGGTTCAGTGAGTACTTTTTATCCATCCGCCAATTTTTTTTCTTTTTTTTTTGGTCACGTTTATTTTGTTTTTTTTTATTATTGCCACAAAATATGACCAATAACCGCCCATCGAACGGTAATTAATGTACAAATATGATAAAAAAAATAGAATGATTGTGGTACCTTAAATTAGCATATATGTACGAGTTTTCTGTATCCAGAATTTCACTGATATTTTTTTCACCATCTCTCAATGTGTAAGTTGAACAATTTTACCATGATGATAAACGAAATTAAAAATAATTATCAGTTTGTTGTGTGTGTGTCTTTTTTTTTGCAGAACAATAAACGATTTCCATAATCAATTTTAATTTTATCTTCACAAACAACAATTTTTGGCAATCAAGATTGAATTTTTAAATATGAAAATCTTGTAATGATTGATCGATTTTCGGGACTCAACTGGCCACATACATACACAAACACAATTAATCCTGATTTGAATGATGAGTGATGATGATGATGATGATGATACATGATTTCATCACATTGTTATCATCATCATCATCACAGCACATGCATTATTATTGCAGCCAAATGAAAATCATAAGCCTGTTATGTCATTTGTTTGAAGAAATTTTCGATTCAACAATGAAGATCAAGTCAATGAGAAGAATGTTTTCTTTTCTTATGAAACAAATGAATCACAATCGTATTACCACCGGTATGTGTTGAATAATAGCTACCAATAACAACAACATGAAGAATAAATGTCATAAACATAATCTATGGCCAATGGCCAACAACTAATAATTATTCATCATCATCATCAGCAGCAACAACAACGACAACAAAATATGGATACAAAATATCAATTCCGATATGAATTAGTCATCAATTCGATTTTATCGAGCATGATGGCAGTGGATGGAAATTGTTTTTGTTATTCGAAATAACAAAAAAAAAAAATAGATTGGTCAGATAGAAAAAAAAGCGAACAATTTTTTCATCATTTTCGATATAGTTGTTGTATGTATCAAAAAGTATCGATTGTAGAATCGATTATCGAACATACGGATATAATGATTCGATTGTGTGTGTGTGTGTGTGTTGCTGTGTGTTTGTGTCTGGTTCGAGAATATATTTTGATTCAGTGAGTACTTTTTATCCATCCGCCAATTTTTTTTTTTTTTTGGTCACGTTTATTTTGTTTTTATTATTATTGCCACAAAATATGACCAATAACCGCCCATCGAACGGTAATTAATGTACAAATATGATAAAAAAAATAGAATGATTGTGGTACCTTAAATTAGCATATATGTACGAGTTTTCTGTATCCAGAATTTCACTGATATTTTTTTCACCATCTCTCAATGTGTAAGTTGAACAATTTTACCATGATGATAAACGAAATTAAAAATAATTATCAGTTTGTTGTGTGTGTGTGTGTCCTTTTTTTGCAGAACAATAAACAATTTCCATAATCAATTTCAATTTTATCTTCACAAACAACAATTTTTGGCAATCAAGATTGAATTTTTAAATATGAAAATCTTGTAATGATTGATCGATTTTCGGGACTCAACTGGCCACATACACACACAAACACAATTAATCCTGATTTGAATGATGAGTGATGATGATGATGATGATGATACATGATTTCATCACATTGTTATCATCATCATCATCACAGCACATGCATTATTATTGCAGCCAAATGAAAATCATAAGCCTGTTATGTCATTTGTTTGAAGAAATTTTCGATTCAACAATGAAGATCAAGTCAATGAGAAGAATGTTTTCTTTTCTTATGAAACAAATGAATCACAATCGTATTACCACCGGTATGTGTTGAATAATAGCTACCAATAACAACAACAACAACAACATATATTTCGGGTATAAATTCTGCAACTTGTAACCAAAAGTTTCCTTTTCATTTCATCTGATTCATCAACAGCCACACCTCAGCCTCACCATATATTTACAATTTTCAGTTTTCTCAAATTCTCATTGTGTTCATATATATCATACATTCATTTTATCATATCAGTTCGTTCGTTCGTTTGTTTGTTGTCTCATCAATCGACGACATTTGTTTCAACGACGTTTTTTTTCTAAAAAAAGAAAAAATTTGACTTTATTTTCTTTTATCAGTTGTTGTTGTTTTTGTTGTGATTTAAATGTGGGTGTGTGTGGGTTGAGATGCTGGTCGAGAACCTGAATCTGGCCAAATAATATCTTTTCTTCTCTATTCATATTCATTGTTTTTTCTTCTGATATTTCCCGTCAAATTTTTTTTTCTCCGAATAACCGTAATTGTCTCTGTAAAGGTGTGCATGTGTGTGTGTGGTTGCCTAGGCCAACCAAATGAATCCAAGAAACCAAGAGCCAGCCAAACCTGGCTAGACCCAATCAAACATTTTGCAACTATAATACTATACCAGAAAATAGAGAATAGAAAATGGTTGGTAGTGAAAAAAAAACTATCGATTTTACTTTTGCCTTTGTGGTGGTTTTTTCACTTTCTCTCTTTCTCTCACTATATTTTAGCAACCAGAAATGAAAACCAGAAAACTATTCGTTATCTTGGCTTTTCTTTCTCTCTCCCTCTCTTTCTATTGATGATATTAATGGTGTGGAGTGGCCACGAAACACACAAAACACGGGAAAAAAAACGGAATTGAATCCCACACACACACATTCTTTTTCCTTGTTGTTGATCAATCTGTTTTTTTTTTTTTTGATGAAATTCATAAATTATAAAGAACCGACAAAACAATACAAAACAAAAAATTCTCACTTGTCGATGCAAATTTTTCATCTTTTATTTTTCTGTTTTTGTTTTCCAATTTAGAATTTCAACTTGATGAAACAAACTGTTAAAATGGTTGCCCTCATTCGACACAAACAATCGACAATGATGATGATGATTTTTAATCAACAAAAACTTGATTAAGCTTATGAATAAAAAAAGAAGAAAAATTCGAAATTGAAATTTAAAAACAAACAAAAATGACATGCATTGTTGATGAATACAATGTCATGTCTATCGTCATCATCGCCACCATCATCATCGTCATTGATTATGATTATTATGGCAAATCAATTAGATTGAATCAATCAAATAAATCAATCAACAATTATCATCATCAACGATAAAGATGACAATGATCGAACAACAATGATCAAATGTCCATGAAATTCTTTAATTTTTTTTTTTAATTTTTAAGTGAAAAACTGGCGCTCATTCCATTTTGTTCATCATCATCATTCATTCATTTTGAATCGTCCGTTATTATTTGATGAAAAACAACAAAAATAAAAACAAACAACAACAACAACAACAATAAAGACGGAAGAAAATTTGTTTAAAAATTTTTTATCGTCAAGTTATTAAATATGTCCGTCCGACATATAAATAACTTGGACGAGCAAACAACAGCCAATAATAACAATGATAATCATCATAGCCAAAATTATAATCAATTTTTATCAGTCACAAATATTGTCAGCCAAGATGATTCAGAATCATTATCATCGACTCATCATCAACAGCAACAGCAACAGCAGCAGCAATCATCAACATCAAATCGAAAACATTCCTCATATTCACAACGTTCACATGAAAGTGCACATGATCGTCGATTATCATTTTTACAATATTATAGCCAACAACAGCAGCAACCGGATACAGCTGGAACAAATGAAAAAAGTGGTGGTGGCGGCGGTGGTGGTGGTGGTGGTAATCCAGGTTTTACACAGAAAGGTTTACAACAACAACAACAACAACAACAATATGTATTTCGGCCATTTACACGTGAATCATTGGCTGCCATTAAAGAAAGAATTGCTGAAGAAAAGTTACGAAAGGCACAAAAAGAAGTAAGATTTATCAATATAATTTTTTTTAATAATAAAAATTAATTTCCATTATCTAAATTCATCCATGAATAGGGTGATACAACCACAATCTATACACATCATGCTCATAATCAAGAAATATGTGAACCAGATCCAATGTTGGAAGCTGGCCTACCATTACCAAGAGGTTTACAGCGTGTGTTTCCACCAGAATTGATTGCCACACCAATCGAAGATATTGATCGTTATTATCAAAATAATATGGTATTGTTAATTTTTATTTTTATTTTCATTTTTGTTTAATTTTAATTTTTTCATTTATTTATTCACACATTTTCTAGACATTTACTGTGATCAGCAAAAGTAAAGATATATTTCGTTTTAGTGCAACAAATTCATTGTTTATATTATCACCATTCAATCCATTACGGCGTGTTGCCATCTATATGCTTGTACATCCTTTATTCAGTTTTTTAGTTATAGTAACAATATTGATTAATTGTATATTGATGACATTACCGCCAGAAGAATCGATTGAACGCACCGAGTGAGTTTTTTTTCGTTCTTTTTGCTTGTTTCTGTGTTTGTTTTTCATTCAATTTATTCATCCATTGATCCATATACAGAATTATATTCACCACAATTTATACATTTGAATCATGTTTAAAAGTGGCTGCTCGTGGTTTTATATTAACACCATTTACCTATCTACGTGATCCTTGGAATTGGCTAGATTTTGCTGTTATAATGTTGGCCTATCTAACGATGGGCGTAGCCGATCTTGGTAATTTAAGTGCACTTCGTACATTCAGGGTATTACGTGCATTAAAAACTGTTGCTATTATACCGGGTATGAAAACAATTGTTGGCGCTGTAATTGAATCTGTAAAAAATCTTAAAGATGTAATCATATTGACTTGTTTTTCATTATCGGTATTTGCATTACTTGGTCTACAAGTATATATGGGTGTATTGACACAAAAATGTATTCGTAATCATGATGGTAATCTTACTACATATGAAGAATGGAATTCATGGTGTAGTAATAGCTCAAATTGGTATTATAAAACACCCGAATCACCACCATATCTATGTGGGAATAGTTCACAGTAAGTTTTTTTTGGATTTTTTGTTGTATTTCAAAATTTTAACTTTTTCAACTAATTATTATTATTCACACCAAAGACATTGTCCACCTGATTATACATGTTTACAAGGTTTTGGTGATAATCCTAATTATGGTTATACAAATTTTGATACATTTGGTTGGGCATTATTATCATCATTTCGTTTGATGACACAAGATTCATGGGAAACATTATATCAAATGATTATTCGTGTTACCGGTTTATGGCATGTTAGTTTTTTTCTTGTCGTAATATTTTTAGGATCATTCTATTTGGTGAATCTAATTTTGGCTATCGTTGCAATGAGTTATGATGAATTACAGAAAAAAGCTGAAGAAGAAGAGATTGCAACAGCGGCTGAAGAAGCAGCGTATGCTGAAGCATGTCGTTTAGCGGAAGAAGATTTATATGGACCTGGTGGTGCTGGTAGTCATCATCATGGTGGTGGTGGTAATGGACAAAGACGTAGTCGTCGTAGTAGCCGTTTATCAGCATATAATGTTGCATCAGCTATTGCATCGGCAGCTATTCGTCCAACACCTTATGGTAATACATTGGATGTTATACAACAACAACAACAACAACAAAATCGACGATCACGGTCATCATCAATACCAATGGATTTATTATCACAACAACAACCATCATCATTACAGGTGCCACAAGGTCCATATAATAATAATAATAATAATGTAATGGCCAATTATCTGGGATATCCATCATCAACAACCATGACCACACAACAACCATTACAGCCTATAATAACCACACAGGAAACACAACTTAGATCTCGTCATCATCGTAATCATCAACAAAATAAACAACCGTCCACATCATGTCCTAGTCCATCTTTTCGTGCTTCTTCATCTACATCATCATCATCATCATCATCAACATCAACAACTTCGGAATCTGTTTCATCTGCCTTATGTTCATCATCATCATCATCATCGGTATCATTATCATCATCAACAACAACATGTCAATATCTTGATTGTGAATGCAAATATAAAAAAAATAATAAACATCATAATAATAATCAACAATCACAACGGAAAATAAAACCACCAGATTCATTGGCATTGAATCAACAACAATCATCAACAATACGTAAGGTAAGCATTTATTATTATATCTTTCCATTCATAATGACTGAATACTCAGAGAGAGAGAGAGAGAGAAAAAAAAATGTCAATATATCATTATCGATATATTAATAAATTAATGTGTGTTTGTGTGTGTGTGTGTGTGTTATTAATTGATAAGTTGAAACAAAAAAAAGGTTCACTTATTATAACTCATGTTTTGAAATTGGCCATATATATCTATTTTATGTCTGTTACAGATAATTTTGTTGTAACGATTACTTTTTTTTCTTGTACAAAACTTGTGTATTCTATTCAGGTGTTTTTTTTCGCTTCTAGTGATCGTAACTATGGTGATATTTTTTTTTTGTCTTATTCGCAAACACACACACACACACATGATCCAAATAGATTGTCCTTCAATGGATCAAATAAGTATTTTATAAATGATGATGATGATGATGACAAAAATCATTTATAAATCGACCGGTCATAACTATTGGGCCATAATGACATGACCAAATGACATTTTTATTATAAATTGGAACTAATTATATGAATGAAACAAATTTCAGTTTGAATATAATTGTTACAAAACTCGGTGTTTTCCAAATTTTTTTTTCAAACGCTACAGACCAATGTTGGCAGTAAAATTTTTCTTGCTGACCGATACTGGGTCGCGGACCACAGTTTGGAAAGGGCTGATTCTCAATTATAATCAACATAGAGAATGAGAGAGAGAGAGAGAATATTCATTAGCCTAAAATAAAAAAATAACGATGTATTAGAATATTGAAACATTTTTTTTTCAAAAAAATGGACAGAATAAAACTTAGTAATTAAACCATAGGTTGTGAATTGGAATGAGTGGATAAAGAATTATTAATCTAGGTCAAGGTCTTTGTCATTTTGTTATAATTTTTTTTCTCTTTTTCTCTTTCATACAATTGTATGGATTAGACTAGTCTTTCACTGCCTGGATCACCGTTCAAACAACAACAGCAACAGCAAAATTCTCGCATAAATAATGATAACAATATAAACGATCAAAATTTAAATGCCTTAAATGATGATGATGATGATGATGATGATGAGAATGGCAAAAAAGGCCATGAAAGTGGTGATCATGAATCATCGAATCGTCATCATCATAATCATAATTATAAATGTCCAGAAAGTTTTAATAAACAACGTAAACATAAAACATCATCATCTGCTGTTCATAAATATATTGATGGACAAAAAGATTTACCATTTGCCGATGATAGTGCAGCACAGACACCATTGTCCGAAGAGAATCTACCTCCATTTCCGGATAGGGATGGATTACAGCCACCACCTTATCATAATCATCATCATCATCATCATCATCAACAACATTATCATCATCGACCATCAAAAGCCTTAAGTTTATCTAATTTTGAATATGAATCTAATCAGCCAACGTTTCGTTCATCGAATGGTGCCTTTAGTAATAATAATCCTTTGACAATGATGGAAAATGTTGAATCAACATCCATACATAATTCAACATATACATCACATTCATCACGTATATCCTATACATCGCATGGAGATATTTATGGCCGTTTAGGTTTTGCCACCACAAATCTGCCACCATTATGGGCCAAAGATTATCATTTACGTGCCAGACGTATGTCGAATGTATGTTTGTTTGTTTGTTTGACTTGTGGATTAATTTTTGTCAAAATGATCGAAAAAGAAATTGATGGAAATTTTTTTGTTTTGTTTTTAATTTTTCAAATATCAGGTGGAAAAATTCTACAATGATGAATGGGCCAAAAATACTATCGTACCTGCTGCTGCTGCTACTACTACTGTACAAAGTAATTTGCCAATGTTACAACCATTTTTACCTGGTGTAAATAATTTTCAAGCCACAACTACTAATGCTAATACACAGCCAAATTCTGCCAATGTTTATATGAAAGGTATTTTTTCAAGAATTTATTGAATTTTTTTTTTCTACAATTCTATCCAATTCAAAATACAGATGTTATGGTATTGAATGATATAATTGAACAAGCATCCGTTGATCATATGATGAAGAATAAACAGAATCATCAACAACAACAATCAAATGAAAGAGGTATGGTATTAATACAATATAATGATGAATGCTGTGCATGTTTATGATTCGTGTGTGCGTGTTTTTTGATTATGAAAAAAAATTTTTTGTAAAGTTTTTCAATGTTATGGCACATCAAATCATCATTTTGTTGTTGTTGTTGTTGTTGTTGTTGTTGTTGTTGTTGTTGTTGTTTTTCTGCATTTTTTTATGTTCTGCGTGTGTGTTTGTGTTATTTAAGTAGCTAAAATTGTAAAAAATTGATTGTTTTTTTTTCGTTTTGTTGTTTTTTTTCGCTTCAATTTTTTTTCTCATCATCCATTACAGTTTCCATATACTACTTTCCTACAGAAAGTTCACCATATCATCAACAACGACATCATCATCATGGTGGTGATATTGAAAATTATCCAAATGATGATGATCTAATTGATTCACAATCCGATTCATCATCATTATCATCATCACATTATTCCAGTGATGATTATGAAAAACCAACATTGAAAGAACGTTTTACAACCGGTTGTTTAAAATGTTTGGATATATTATGTGTATGGGATTGTTTCTGGTGTTGGATACGCGTGCAAGAATTAGTGGCGCTAGTTGTTTTCGATCCATTTATGGAATTATTCATTACATTATGCATTGTGGTCAATACATTATTCATGGCAATGGATCATCATAATATGGATAAAGATTTTGAAAATATATTACAAAAAGGAAATTTTGTGAGTATTTCTTGTTTGTTAATTAATTAAATAAATCTCTTTTTTCCATTAGTTTTTCACAGCCATTTTTGCAATTGAAGCCACATTAAAATTGGTAGCATTAAGTCCAAAATTTTATTTCCGTGAAGGTTGGAATATATTTGATTTTGTTATCGTCATTCTGTCACTATTGGATGTTAGTTTATCATCGGTTTCCGGTCTTTCTGTATTACGATCATTTCGTTTGGTAAGTTTTTATTCGATTAGAATATTCATCCACTCCATTACATTCATTTAGCTTCGTGTGTTTAAATTGGCTAAATCATGGCCAACATTGAATCTATTGATATCGATTATGGGTAAAACGGTTGGTGATCTTGGTAATCTAACATTTGTATTGGGCATTATAATCTTTATATTTGCTGTGATGGGCATGCAATTGTTTGGAAAAAATTACACGGAAGAAAAGTAAGTTTTGAGATGATTTTTTTTCTCTTTTCAATGCTTACAAATTTTTATCCAAATTTTAGTTTTGGTGGAAAAGAAATACCACGTTGGAATTTCAAAGATTTTATGCATTCATTCATGATTGTATTTCGTGTATTATGTGGTGAATGGATTGAATCCATGTGGGATTGTATGCGTGTTTCCGGTGCTGCTTGTGTTCCATTTTTTTTAGCCACTGTTGTCATTGGCTATTTGGTTGTGCTCAATTTATTTTTAGCTTTATTACTATCATCATTTGGTGCATCAAATTTATCGGCACCAACATCGGAAAGTGCCGATACAAAAAAACTTCAGGAAGCATTTGATCGTTTTTCACGTGCATTCAAATGGATTAAAATGAAATTTATACGTTCATTTAAGGTATGTATTCTGGTTATAAATAATTTAATCGATGATTTTTAATTTTTTTTTTTTTTTTCACACACACACACACACACACACACAAGCGTTTAAAGCCAAAAACACGTAATCAAATTGGTGATCCAACATTTGATCATCATCAACCACATGATGATAATATGCTCAATGATTTAGATATAATAACTGGTCATCATCAGCTTTTTATTGATGGTCAAACAGCAGCAAATCAAAAAACTTCCTCGATAGCCAATAATATTGGTAAAATGACACATACAGATTTTGAAATGGCATTATTCAAAGAATCATCGAAAATTAATGGCGGTACAACAACAACAGCAGCAGTAGCTACACCTTGCAATAGTATCAATGTAAATTCAGTTAATAATAACGCACAGCAACAACCATCATCGCAACAACAAATGCAAAATCAATTAAATCATCAAAATGATAATGCTCAACAACAACAACAACAACAACAGCCACCACCATTACATATGAATTCATTGGATGATTCGAAAGCCAATAGTGATAGTAATCTAAGTGAACATCATCATGATAATATTGTTTCATTAATAATACCTGGACATAAATCAATGGATAATAGTGTTAGTGATGATAAACTAGATACAGCCACAGCCGATGTTATAATCAATGAATATCCATCGGAATGTTTTCCAGAACCAATGTATAAATATTGTCCATGGTGTTTAGATGATACACCATTCTGGACACGTTGGAAAGAGATACGTACACGTTGTTATAAATTTGTTGAACATAAATATTTTGAAACATTGGTCATTACATTGATTCTTATTAGTAGTATGGCATTGGTAAGTAATAGTATTGAATTCAATTTGAAAATTTCTGATTTTTTTTTTAAATTTCATTTACACAGGCATTGGAAGATGTAAATTTTAAAAAAGATCCATTATTCATGGAATATCTTGGTTATATGGACAAATTTTTTACTGTCATTTTCATTTGTGAAATGTTAATCAAATGGCTTGCATTTGGTTTTGCCGGTTATTTTACAAATGTTTGGTGTTGGCTTGATTTTGTCATCGTTATGGTAATTATTATTACCTTTGTTATTTACTTTTCCAATCTATATTATCTTTCCTTTCCCCATTCTTTCCTATTCATTCTATTCATTCATTTTTTTTTCTAGTCATCTAACCATTTTTTTCTCTCTTATCTTATTTTTTTTTCATTTGAAATATATAATATAATAATTTCAAATGAAAAACTTTCCAATAGAAAACAGAAAAAAAATTAGTCTTTAAAAATTCTGACCGTTAGATGGTGTTAGATGTTTTATAGAAAAAAAAATAATTTTTTTTAAATTTAACTTTCTCTTTCTCTTTACATCAACAAAACATCATTTTAAAAAAACAAACAAACAAAAAGGTTTCAATATTCAATATATTTGTCGGAATTTTCGGCCTTGGAAATGTACCGGCATTTAAAACGATGCGGACATTAAGGGCATTACGGCCTTTACGAGCTCTTTCACGGCTTGAAGGCATGCGTGTAAGTGTGAATAATAACAATCAATTAACGAAATTGAAAGCAAAAAATAGAAAAATTAATAAAAATCACGAAATACGCGTAATCGTGATTTAGAATGATTATTACAAATTCATTCATCGAATTAGAATCAATTGATCAATTATATTTTTAGCATTGATTTAGCCTAATTATATTAATTGATAGAAAAAATTTTTCTCTGTATGATGAAAAATTGTTGCATTAATGTTGCATTATAATAATATATTTGGGATGGGGGTGGCGGTGGCTAATTGGATGCTGGAGCTATTTGTATAGAAAAACCACGTGGTTGACTTTATCGTCATACGATAGCTTTAGATTCCTTAGATTCTTTGATGAATTTTTTTTTCTACTGAATATGAACCCTGAATAGATTGGATGATGCTGCATGATTAGTTTATATACATAGAATGATTGTTGATGTTGTGGTGGTGGTGGGTGGTGGTGGTAGATATCTCTCAAAATACATCATCATTATCGAATTTTTTTTATCTTTCCTTTTTTTCCTTTTTGAAATTTTTTTTTTCAATTTCATTTCTCATTTACCATATCTATATATATATTGTATTTGTTCCAAAATCCAACTAACTAACAAACAAACAAAAAAAAACAAACAAATAAATAAACAATACACGAAAAACATGAAATCAATGAAAAACAAAACAAGGTATCGGTGATAAATTTAATTGCCACTTGGTTTGGTGTGGCCAAAATTCAAGCTTTCAAAACGATGCGGACGTTACGAGCTTTGCGGCCATTACGAGCTTTATCCAGATTTCAAGGAATGCGGGTAAACAAAATATATTTGTAAATGAAATGAAAAAAAACACACACACGCACACACACATTTTATTCCAAAAAAAATGAAAATGTTCTTCACACGCACAAATTCACCAATTTCGATGATATATTCGAATCACCACATGCTTGCATGTTTTAAATTTATTCATTTTTTTCGATTCATTCTTGCTTTCATTTCAAACAATTTTCTTGGTTTTTTTAATTCAAAAACGAAAAATTTCAATTTGCATGTATTCGAATGCCTGTTGTCAATGTAATTGCATGTGTATTTCATTGATTTTTTTCATTTTTCTTGTTTTTCAAAATCAATTCAAACTTGATTCTAATTCTGATTTTTTTTGTCGTTGGGTGGTGGGAAAAAAGGTGGTTGTCAACGCATTGATACAGGCAATACCAGCCATTTTCAATGTATTGTTAGTTTGTCTCATATTTTGGCTTATATTCTCCATAATGGGTGTACAATTGTTTCTGGGAAAATTCTATCAATGTATTGATGCTGAAACAAAAATGAAACTAAACGCAAGTTATGTACCAAACAAAGAAGCATGTATGGCTCGTAATCATACCATTTGGTATAATCCACCGATTAATTTTGATAATGTTCCTAATGCCTATCTTGCATTGTTTCAAGTGGTATGTGTTTTTTTAATAAAAAAAAATCAAACAAAAAAAATTGAAACTGATCTTCTTCTTCTTCCTTTTTTAGGCCACATTCAAAGGTTGGCTTGATATAATGAACAATGCCATTGATTCGAAACAAGATCCAGATGAACAGCCAGAAAAAGAAGTGAATCTTTATATGTATCTGTATTTTGTATTCTTCATCATTTTTGGTTCATTTTTCACTTTGAATCTATTTATTGGTGTGATTATCGATAATTTTAATGAACAGAAAAAGAAAGCCGGTGGTTCATTGGAAATGTTCATGACTGAAGATCAGAAAAAATATTATAATGCAATGAAAAAAATGGGCTCAAAAAAACCAATGAAAGCAATACCAAGACCAAGAGTATGTATCCATTCAATATGATTGATTTTGATTTTTTATTTAAATTTTCTATCAATTTTCATAGTTTAAATTACAAGCAATTGTATTCGATGTGATAACGAATAAAAAATTCGATATGATCATCATGTTATTTATAGCATTGAATATGGTGGTCATGTCATTGGATGAATATAGACAAAGTGTGATTTATTCAACAATTTTGGAAAGATTAAATCTATTTTTCATTGCCATCTTTACTACTGAATGTTTATTGAAAATTTTTGCATTACGATGGCATTATTTTAAAGAACCATGGAATATATTCGATTTTGTTGTCGTTATTCTATCAATATTGGGTGTATTATTACGTGATATAATAGCCAAATATATTGTATCGCCAACATTATTACGTGTAGTACGTGTTGTTAAAGTTGGCCGTGTATTACGTTTAGTAAAAGGTGCACGTGGTATACGTACATTATTGTTTGCATTGGCCATGTCATTGCCAGCATTATTCAATATTTGTCTATTACTTTTTTTAGTAATATTCATCTATGCAATATTTGGAATGTCATTCTTTATGAATGTTAAACAACGTTATGGTATTGATGAAACATTTAATTTTAGTACATTTTTTCGTTCATTTATATTATTGTTTCAAATGTCAACATCGGCCGGTTGGGATAATGTATTAGCAGCCATTATGGATGAAAATGATTGTACACCAACAACCGGACCGGATGCAGAAGGTGATTGTGGTAATCGTGGTATTGCAATCGCTTTTTTAGTTTCATATTTAATTATATCATTTCTCATCATAATCAATATGTATATTGCTGTTATATTGGAAAATTATTCACAAGCAGCTGAAGATGTACATGAAGGTTTGACTGATGATGATTATGATATGTATTATGAAATATGGCAAAAATTTGATCCAAAAGGAACACAATTTATTAAATATTCACAATTATCGGATTTTGTACATGCATTGGAAGAACCATTACAGATACCGAAACCGAATAAATTTAAATTAATATCAATGGACATACCGATTTGTGTTGGCGATATGTGTTATTGTGTGGACATTTTGGACGCATTGACCAAGGATTTTTTCGCCCGTAAAGGACATGTTATTGAAGAAACGGCTGAATTGGCCGAAGTAGCACCGGTCAAATTGGGTCAATTTGAACATATCAGTAGTACATTATGGAGACAACGTGAAGAATATTGTTCTAGTGTCATAAAAAAAGTATGGAATGAATATAGACAACGGAAATTTGAACAGCAACAACAAAAATTGAATACAATCACTGAAGAAGAAATGATTGAACAATAACAAATTATCGCCTTTTTTTCTTGTCGATCAAATCATCATCATCATCTATTTTTTTCCCCATACAAACACACACACACACACTTGACACACAACAAAAAAAAAGATTTATCAATCTGTGCCTATGATTTGTGTGAAAAAAAAATCAGTATGAATGACCACCAGAGAAATGATTCATATCATAATTTGAGAATTGAAAAATGAAAAAAAAATGTTTTAATGTAAATCGAAATTCTTCATATTTTGCATCGATTCTTCATTCTCACACACACACACACACACATCGAATATAAACTCAGAAATACAACACGTTTCTCTCTCTCTCGCTCTCGATTTTTTTTTGTGTTGTTGCATTGTAATTTGAATTGATGAATTGTGATATTTTTTCTTGTTGAAACATGACAACAAAAAAACAACAAATTTTTTTTTCTCCCGGCTATATCAATCAAACTTTTTTTTCTCTTTGTTTTTAAAATTTCACTCACAGTCAACAAAAAAAAAAATCTTGTATGATTGATTTCCAATTTTCGATTTAGATTCCTATTTAGTTTACCACCACCACCACCACACCACCACACCGCGCTCACTTGATTGTATTTATTTATTTTTTATTATTAAAAAAAACGATTTAAATATTTAAATTCTTCTTTGCTATTTGATGGCTGACAAAAATGACAGAATGGAATGAAAAAAAAAATCAAATCAATAGATATTGCTAGCCAATTCGGTGGCCATATTTCTGATGAAATTATCATATGAAATGTAGAATATAAAAAATGTGGAAAACATTATAAAATTGATGGCCGATATGATCAATATGCAAATGTTATTCAATCTGTTCAGACGTTTGTAGCCACATAATTTTTGCCGTTGATATATTGTTTGTAATTCCGGTTTGGTGCGTACAAATAATTCGATCCACGTTAATGGTATGGACATTGATATATAGAATATTGATAATAGATAGAATAATATTTGATTATAATTGACAATAATGGCCAATAAACAGATAATATGATTGCCAATTAAAAGAAATCGATCTATTAATGACCGGATATAATTACGTCTTTGTTTATTAACATAATAATGTTGTTGATGATGATAATTATGAGGATTGATTGTTTCGATTGTACATTTACGACACAAATGACGATCATCACAAACATCTGTTAAGAAGAATATCGTACGCCATGTATGTCCAACAATGGTTGAATCAAAATTTGATCGATTTTGGCCAGTTTTTTTCAACGTTTTTTTCATCAATTTTAGAATGTTGGCACGTAAATTTATTGTTGCCAATAATGATGATGATGAAGAATTTAATTTCATTGAATTCTGTGTTTCATCACTATTGTGATGATTACTACTACTACTACTACTACCATGAATTACGTGTTGACGTCCAATATGATTATGGCGTAATATTTCAATTGCTTCATGCCAGAATCTACGATTCCAAATGATGGCGATTCTTATGAATAATGATATGATTATATCGTATAAAAGAAACATGACAGCAACACAGCTAGAAATCCATACTGGTCCCAATATGAATGTCGGTATGATTTGATCATCAAACGATTCAATCGGTACTGGTAATAATGATTCAATCGATGCACGTATCAATTCATTGAATGTAGAAATTTGTTGTAGTCGTCGTTGTTTGATGAACATTTTGTTGTTTAAATAAAAATTCAAATGAAAAATCAAAAAAAAGAAAGAAAAACGAGTTTCAACACCATGAAATAATCTCTCTCTCTAATTTATTATTGTATGAATTGAATTGAATTTATTGAATATCTTATTGAATCGAATTGATTTTGGATTGAATTTTGAATTTATTGAATTGATCGTTTGAATTTGAATCTTGGATTATTGAATCATGGATAAATTGTCCGATCGAGTTTTTAAAGCAAAAATCACGAAATCTTTCAAATCGAAAAAGTTTGATCGAAAACTGGTGTCCGAACTGAACGAAGAATTCGAAAATCGTACGGCTGGACTTGATGAAGATGAATTGGAATTATGGAAAAAATATGACGATATATTGAAGGCAATGATCAATAATGTTAATCTGAATGAATTATTGAATAATGATGATGGTGATGATGACGTGGATCTAAATGAATCTGATGCTGATAATGATGATAGAAGTACTCATGGTAGTCATCTCGATGATGATGATCGTGTTTCGTCTAGTGGATCCAATCCTGATGCGAAAAATGATATACCGATTTACAAAATTGTAAATTCAATCAAATCGTTTAAGGATAATGTTGCTGAATGGCCAGCGTTCAAAAGTCGTGTTGAATCGCTGATTATTGAACGGAAAAATATTTCTGAAAGTTCAAAAAGAATCATCATTTCCGGTATTGTAAGAGGTAAAGCATCTTCGATATGGGATCGATGCGAAACCCAAAAAATGGATATAAAAAAGAGCTGGAAAGCCTTGTCGAAAGAATTCTGAAGATCAATCGATGCATGTTTCTGATGGTGTCGTATCAATTCATTGAATGTAGAAATTTGTTGTAGTCGTCGTTGTTTGATGAACATTTTGTTGTTTAAATAAAAATTCAAATGAAAAACAATATGAATCTCAAAAAAATTTGAAAATAATCATGAGAAACGAGTTTCATGAAATAATCTCTCTCATAATTTATTATAATTATAACACACATGCGAATTCGAATTATATCAAAAAATAAAATTCACGAAGTATTCAAATGAACAGCTGTGATGTGATTGTTTTTGAATCGAATCGTCAAGCTTTCGTAAATTGCTTGGTTTGGTTTGGAATTGTATCGATGATTATTTGAATATTAATTGGAAAATCCCTGATAAAATTGATACGAAACGAAAATTATTACGATTTATTGGTCAACTATTTGATCCTTTAGGATTTTGTGAACCTGTGAAATTATTATTTCGTAAAGAATTTAAGGCAAATCCAGGATGTGGATTGGGATGATGATTTAGACGAAGAAAATTGTATCCAAGATCAACGATCTTACGATTGGATTAAATGAATTGAATGAAATTAAATTTGTCCGTTATGTTGAAGATCAAAGGCAAGTGTCATGTTTCGTGGATGCAAGTTTGATGGTTATGGTTACGCCATATATTTGGGAAAAAGATCTGATTTTGGAAAGTCTAAAATATCTCCACGGGTCGAACAATCGTCGATTTGGAATTATTGGCATTATATGAAGGCGTTAAAGCCAATTTTCGCGTATTGTTGATTATTTGAAATATGTTGGCGAAGTTGAAATTTTACCGATTCGCAAATAAACATTGATCGATTAAAATCAAATGTGAACAATCAAAAAAAAAAAAAAAAAAATAAGATTAAAAAAAACATTGGAATTTATAGATTTAAATTAAATTCAAATTCTCATGACCATTCATTGTTTCAACGATGGTCATGTGATTGGTTATAGTTTATGGTGTTGTTGTCGTTGTTGTTGTTGTTTGTAATGAAGATGACATTGTTATGGTTGAAGATGAAGATGATGGTCGTGGTTTTGAAGCACCGAATAAATTTCTACAAATTCTATGTTTCTTTCTAATGATAACACCACCAGCAATGATATTTTGATTGGTAACCATTACATTGGTTGATGATGATGGATTGAAAAATCGTTGACAATTATTATGATTATGATTATTGTTGTTGTTGTTGTTGTTATTATTATTATTGAATCTATCGTGTTCACCACAATTCGATATTTTCGAAAAATTTATAGATGATGAATGATCCAAAATGTTTGTAGCATCATCAAATATTAGATGACGACGTTTTTCTTTTGTTTTCATTTTCGGTGCCATCAATAATTGTCTTGCATATGTTTTATAACGTGGTGCAACCATTGTAGGCGTTTTGAATATCGGTGATGATGATGATGATGATGATGGTGATTTTCTGGATTTCGGCGACGACATTGATGTCGATTTAATACATAAACTTTGATGATCACGTTGTTTTCCGTTGTTGTGTTCACCATCATCATTTAATGATGACCACATTTCTTTAACCATTTTATTATTAGTCAATTGGTTAGCGGTGGTGGTGGTAAACTGAAGAAAGAGAAAAGAGAAAAAAAAATCAAAATTGGTTATACAGAGAGAAAAAAAAACAAAACAAACCAGAATAAAACAAAACCGCGTTATATAGCCGATATATAATTTTGTTCGAAAATGAAATGTTCGATTAAACATTTATATATGAACAGAATTCGATCGTTTTTTTTTCTTTTGATTTGATTTGAGACAGAGAAAAAAAAATGATTCATCGAATTTTTTTTGTGATTTGATTATCATCACAACATCTAATGATGACGCACTATATTCTATTAGGATTTATCATACACACACACACACACACACACACACACACACAGACAAAACGATAACCACAACAAACAAAAGGAAAGACAGATTTTCACTAGAACATTCGAAAAGAGAATAAAATTAGAACTCAATAGGTGTCTACTCATTGTACATATATTGGTCATTCATATTTGAATTTGATTATCAATCATCAATGTATCTGTATCTGTGTCTGTGTATGTGTGTAAAATTCAAATGACAAATAAATCATGTGTACGTGTTTTTTTTCCCAATATTTACATCATAGTGATTGATTGATTTGATTTGATTTGGTTCGAAAAATGTTCAAATGAAATCCGATTCGGTCATCGGTGATTAATTCTTTTCTTTTTTCGATACATTTTTTTTCATCATCTTCATCAGTTTTTTTTCACTTTCAAAAATAAACATTCATTCATTCTGCTGCTCAATGGAAAATCTGACATTTCCAATCATGATTCAGTTTGTGATGTTATTAATCAAAAAAAAAAAAAAAATCGCCTGTCCTGCTGCTGCTGATGATCATCATCATCGTCAATGATGTGCAACCACTGGTTGGGTAAGTTTTTTTTCTTTTTCTTTCCATCGTTTGAATTGCTTTTGTTTATTTTCATTTTTGTTGTTGTTTCTTTCAATCATCATGATGACGATGAATGAATGAACTAAAACACTAACCCTTTTATATATATATAGAGATATGATAATAATTTTTTTTTTTGGCACTGATGATCATGATCATGATTAAGAAGCCGTCAGGGTTATAAACCCTTTTTCATGTAGTTTGTGTGTGTGTGTCTGAGAGAATTGAGCGAACTCCCGGATAATGATTGTGTCAGGAGCCACCAGTTTTTGTACTGAACACATACATACACACACACACACACACAACAAAAACTGGAATGGGAAAAGAAAAAAGAAAAAAAAAGAATTTCAAGCTAAAAATTGATCATCATCATCATAAAATGAAAAGTTGACGTGAATTTTATTCATCCATTTTTTCATTGAAATTCTTTGTTAATTATGATGATGATGATGATTAGAAAGAGAAATAAAAGTTTCCATCAAATGAAAGAATCGATTTTCAAAAATTTCGTGATCAAAATGATTTTTTTTAAATAGCCCATTTTTTTCATTTAAATTAACATTTCAAAATTTTTTTTCCATTTCATTTTATTTTTTATTTTATTTGTATATGTATGACTCATATGAATGGATCAATATGAATCTTCAATGGTAACAATTTCAATGATACCCACTGTTGTTGTTTTTGTTTCTCTATTGTCAAGTACATCAAGATATCAACCATATGTGTGTGTTGAGGGTTCATGTGTGTGTGTGTGTGTGTGACAAACAAACACAGGTCACCATGGTCACATAGAGCAAGAGAAAGAGAGAGAGAGGGTTCAATTTAACCGAAAAGCAAAAAAAAAAATAAATAAACAAAAGTCTAAAATGAATATAAGGTTTGTGATAATGATCTGATTGAAATATTTACAAACACACACACACACACACACCAACCCACCAATGTGAAACAGTTCTGGAACAAAAAATCTTTTTTGTTTTGTTTTGTTCCAATCCAGAATTTAGATTGGAATGCTCTATATTTAGTAAATGTAAAAAAAACTTACCATTAAATTATTCGATGATGATGATGGTGATGTTTTTGATTCATCAAACGATAATGATGATGATGCATTCGTTGACATGTTGTTGTGTTGAGATAATCAATTCTTTTGGTGATTCAATTTGAATTTTTTTTCTATCGGCAAAAAACACACACACACACACACACTGCACAATTCCGGAAATGTGAAGAAATTTTCCGAAATCGATCAAAACGAAAAAAAAATCTTTGCCGTAGCGCTACTGCTATTGCTGTTTTTATGAATTTTTTTTTTTAAGTTTTGTTTCAAGTCAATATCACCATCATCATCATCATTGTTGTCCAATTTGGTTGATGCCGTAATGTATACTGTGTGTGCGTGTATGTATGTTTTGGTGTGTTTGTATTTAATGTTTTTACGAAAAAGAAAAAGAAAATATCATAACCAGCATCCATTTCATTCATTCATACAGGCAGCCACCACAATCTTTCGTTCGTTTTCTCTTTCTCTCTCTCTCTCTTTTTTCTCCCTCTATATCTGGAGCCGGTTGGAGTGATGCTTTGCTATGCTACGCTATTTGAAAAAAACGCGGGATAATAACTAACCAATATTTCCTCATTCACTTGAACAACTAGTTCGAATATCATGTTGTCGATGTCGATGTTGATGTTATTATGTGTGTTGATATATGAACCGTGGTCGTTGCCATGTTTAGCCATATTAGCTATGGTTGTATAGATAGTGAATTGGTAGACATTTCATTTTATTTCTTGTCATTTGTCAAATGGCCATTCATTCATAGTAAGTACACACACACACACACACATTGCACAGAAACAAATTCAAAAGATTCTAAAATTAGTTATGATGATGATGATGATGATTCACATTCATTTTCACAATTTCACTAGTGATGGTCAAAGGTTATGAAAACAAATGGAGCCGAAAAAAAGGATTCGAAATGAATGATGATGATTTTGCATAAATGATCATTATGATTATGAGCTACTACTACTACTAGTTGTAGTCTATTTATATTTAATTGTATCCATCATCAATCAATCAATCAATCAGTTTATCACCAGCAACAATAATAAAAAAAAACATCCTTTCATTTTCTTCGTAAATAACATGAATGATGATGATGTAAAAAAAAACAACAAGAAATTGAGAGAAACCAAAAAAACAACAACAACAAATTGATAACTAAAAAAAAAAATTGATCATTTTCTGGTTCTAGTTATAAATTTATCATATCATATACATTTTCAATTGTTATGTTTGTCATAATCATAATAAATATTTACTTTGGTTTGGTTTTGATTGTCATCATCTAACTATTAAATAAACAAAAAAATCCAATGTCATTTTTCTCTGTTCGTTTGTGTGTGTGTTTATTATGTATTTGGCACATTTTGTATCAGATATCCCAGTTTTTCCTTCTACTACTACCACTATATATTTTACTAATGATGTCAATTTTTTAGTGAATAAA